TGGAGGTACCTAGTTTTGAGATATATAGCAAGGGTGCCCAAACAGATATGGCAGCAATATTCAATATACAGCAAATTGTAGATTTGAACATTCAAGAAGAATTTTCTGGTTATGACATGGTGAAACAAATTTTCTTGCAGCCCTCCTAGCAATTGATTCAATATAATCATTCTCCTTCATGTCAGTGGAAAATGTGAAACCAAGGCAGCACAAATCTATTGGAGATATGCATCAGCCATGCTGATGCAAGGCAAAAATAGTTCTACATGATTATTAAAAAGATTTTGAAGATGTTAAAATTTACAAGCCATTTCTTGCCCCAATTTACAACTGATTAGAAGTCAAATTTTTTAGATCAACTACCAGTTTTACTTTATTAGACCTATCAGACTTACTATGAAGACAGGAGCAAATAGTTGTATCATCAGCATAAATACCTAGTTGGGAACTGATGACATCTGATAAAAATAAGAAACAATGTAGGTTCAAAGATAGAACCCAGGGGGACAATGCATTAATATGAAAGGATCTAGAAGAGTGGCTGTTCAACACAACTTTCATTACATGATTTGTTAAGAAAGATTGGAATATTTTTTCAGAGACACAATAGCCCTTCAACTTGTGAAAAAGGGCTGCATGCAAAACCCTGTCAAATACCCTCAAAATATCTAAAGCCAAAGCCTCGCTGTTCTTAGCTAAAGCTGGATAGACAAATTCAGTGATAACCATTAACACATTGGCAATAGAGAAACAAAAACCATATTATTTGTCTGAAAGAACGCTGTGTGAAGTGAGATGCTTAACAAGTTCAGAGTTGATTAGAGTCTCTCTTACTACTTTGTCAAAAAGTGTTAAAAATATTAATAGGGTGATAATTTGATAGATCAGAGGTTCACCAGAGTTCTTAAAGACAGGAGCTACAGAAGAGGATTTCCAACAAACAAGAAACAGTAAGGCATTTGTTGTAGAGTTTGAAGAGGACAGGCGCCAGTTCAGTTCACATTTCCTTAGGACAATTACAGGGATACTGTCAAGTCCACACGCCTTGTGGGGATCTAATTTGGGGAGATGATAGTAGAAACCATGGACAAAGTTATATGCATAACACTCAATAGAGATTCCATTTTAGGGAATCGAGTTTAATTCATAAGACATAGTGCAGGTAAGTGGAACAGAGGGGAAACAGGCTTGTGTAAATGGATGGCAAAATACTGGGTGTGAGGGATGGTGAAAATACAAGTCATGGAGGGTCATGACTGTCTACATCCTGAATGGATATGGCATATAGAAGACAAAGTGTATACACACAAGGAGCAGAAATTATTTTCTTTTGTGACAACTTACAATCTGGCTTGCCTTTTGTTTCAATTTCATACAAATAATAGATGTATAATATTCACAATATCTTAGTGACATTTAAATATATACATCATATTTTTATGTAATGAACACATTAGCAAATTTCAAAAACAAAAAAGGTTTTATAGCATAAAATTGTATTTAAATGAAGTAGTTTTGTTGAAAGTACATATCAATAATTGGTTAAAATTGTCTTAAAAAATATCACAATCCTGTTACTAATTTATATTAAATATCTGCACTACTATAAAAAAAATCTCTTACAGTTACCAATATTTCTTCCATTACATTTTCTCAATAAATGTTTAAATTTATTGACTTATTTTTGATAAGTAATTTGACATGAATTGATTTTAACTTGTGCTAAACTTAAATTCATTCTCTATTTTTTGTCAAAAAAAATAAACAGAAGAAATTTCTTAAAACTAGATAAAAATAATTAACAAAATTCCAATTTTTTAACCCACTAAATCATTAGTATTAAAGTTTTAGATACAGTTCAATAAAGAAAATTAAAGTAAAATATTCCTGCAGTGGTTCTATAGAATGTATTGAAAATTTTCAATATCAAAATTAAAGACTAGTCAAAATTATACAACGAAAAGTTGAAAATCAATATATGAGTGATGTCCAAAAAGTAAGGCAGAAATATTTACTAATCCAACATGTTTAGTGACTATACAAGTAAAACCTTGTGCATAATATTACTAGTACTACCATTCTAATTTTCCAGTCAACATCAAAACTGATACATTTGACCCATCAGAGCAGAAGTAAAGAATTACTCTCCTTGAAGAATATATAGCATTAAATGATTGGAGCCCCACCCATACACCTCTACAACAATGACATTTATGCAGAACTGCTTCCTGGATGTAATTTAAGAAGAATCAAGAAAATGATAATCTGAAGAAGCTAAGTCAGGGAGCAGGATAATAACCTTATACAAATGTTCTGGTTTCTCCTGTTGAACAGTTACTCTCAGTTAGTCAAGTGTTTCACAGTATTTTATTGTGTTAACTATCTGACTATGTAATATGAAGTCCGTGAGTAGCACACAGTTGCTATCAATTTTTCAGCTAACTCATGACTTGAAATTTTGGGGTGAGAGAAGAGTTAATGATGAAGGATACCTCTAGTTATTGAATTCAAGCTTCTATTTCTGAGATAATATGATGTACTTTGGTCTCGCCAGCCATGATCATATGCACCAAAAAGTCTATCATCCCTCTTATACTGTTTCAAAAGCTGAAAAGAAATGCTCATGCTCTGAAACTTGCTTTGAGACACAATGAAATGATACTTTTATATCCCAACTTCTTGTGGACAATTGTTTTTCATCTGTCACTCCTCTTCTTCATCAGTTGCTAGCCCCCATTAGCTTTTTTGAGAAACACCAACCTTATGGCTCTCTTTTCCCCTCCTCAGTTGGGACTGGGGTGTCATCTCAAAGAGTTGATTCAGGTTTCCCAAAAAATAGGTGAATAAAATGTCTATTATTTATTGCAAAATCAAATTCTCTACTGTCAGATGATGATTTGCAAAATCTAGCTGCAAACACTAAAGTAATAACCAGCCAGTTGACTCTCACTCAATTCTTCTGTCATACGTGTGTCTGCATTTGCTCCAGCGACAGGAGTTGTGGGTGTGTGTCTTTTTAGGCAGTGGATGTCTTAAAATGATATCACAACTCTACCAGTTATATGTCTTTTTGGGCATTATTCCCTACCCTCCCAAAACATTTGATATTGATATATTTAATTTCTCTACCCCAACCATCTTAATCTTAGGAAATCTGTTAATAATCATATGGCATTCATTTTTGTCTTTAGAATTTTCTGTTCTCTTTTTGTATAAAGATAATGGTGATTTTGAATGGACAGCATTAACACAAACAAATCTCAAGCATGGGAATTAACAAAATCCAGATGCTTTCTTTGTTTAGAAGAATTTGGGTAAAAAAAAAAAAAAAAAAAACTAATTTCTAAGGAAAAAAAAAAAATTTGGACTATACATTAATGATGTCTTGGAAGTGGATAAGGTAGGGAGCCTTGGTTTTGCTCAATTTTACTGAATCTTGGCTAGTTAATTCTGAATTTGATTCTCTTTAGAACCATCCTGAAATTCCTTTTATTGTTTAAAAGATTTTTAACCCATTTCTTTTTTCGATTTTTCTTAATCATTCAACCTACTCAGAGAATTATAATAATTATTATCCAATTAGAAGTCCCTACCAAATCACCATCCTGCAATTTCATGCAATTGAATGTTTAAACATGGACATTTTACATTGCAGATTCAGACACCCCTCTGAACACACTATAGCATATTGATACCTACTTCTTGCACATTAAATATTCACCAAACAGTAATTTTAACTTCATAGCAAGATTTTGTTTGACTTTTGCTCTTATGTCTCACAATGCTTTATGGTAGCAGTCATTTTTGTTGTGACATCACCCATACATGATTCAATATTAAACCTATTCTGACTGTTATAAGTAGCATTTCATACCTACTGTTGCTTTGAACTTACAGATTTTACAGTGTTCTCATTCCAGTTTACTTATGCATAGTACCTTATTTTTTCAACATCCCTTGGAGGTTTTAACAAATTGGCTAGATTACACTGAGTAACAAAGATTTAACTCTTGTAGTAAATGTGTGTTTTAGACAAAATTAAGTATTCAGATCTCCAAATATTACTTGGAATTGTTCTAGATAGTCAGGTTTTTCAGATATCTGCATAGCATATTTATGCTCAGAGACACAGTGGAGTAATGGATAGTGGCTCGGATTGAGGAATTGGAGAGCAAAGTTCAAATTCCAGTCAAATCCATTACATTCACTTTTATGCTAATACCATTGGGAAAGGTATGTATCCTCCTCTTCTCCCCCCAGCTATGGGTAAATAACAGGACAGACCGGCTTCTGTAACTTTGGATGGCAACTGGTCTACCGCAGAAAGAAATAACAACCTACTGCAGGAAAAAATCTGCCTCATCAGTCATGTATCAAAAGATACATGATTGCCTAAGCGTGTATCAAACATGGCACATAAGTGACTAACTGATATTTATGCTCAAGATAAATATTAATAATATCAGCAGCATGGAATTTATTTGTTAATTGTAAAGAACTTTTTTTCAGTCCCAGAATTTAAAAGAATGCCGATTTAATAAACAGTATAATCACAGCATATCTTGAAATGGAATTAAGGCATCAAGGCTGGGTCATTTCAAACATGGATAATGGGTAACTACAGCTGGTTTCTACAAAACTACTTCAATGCACAAAAGCAAAAGTAAGTATTTCAAACATTTCTGAAGATATCAATATTTATTGTTATTCCCCATTGCCATCTAATTTTTCCTTGAACACACACACACATATATATATATATATATATATATATATAACCTGATGTGCTGGGACAATTCCGAGTACAGATTTGGGGTCTGTGTACTCTATTTTGTTTAGCATCATTTGTTTGGGTAGCAGATCAAAAGTCTTTCAAAATTGGGAAGAAAAACTGTCTCACATAAATAACACTGGATAAAAACTGATAAAGATTTTTTAAAAATTAAATGTACTAAAATTCACTAGTTTGAGAGAGTGAAAAAAAAAAAAAAAAAACTTACAAGTTGGTGATGTTCCACACCAGCACTACACTTTCTGTTCATATCTTGGTGGTGCTTGTGCTCAATTAAACAATCCATAACTTCAGATGGTTCAACATCATTATCTAATTGGTCCTAAAATAAAATTTCATTATAGAAATTCAATAAATAAAAAAAAAAAAAAAAAGGTCAAATACAGAGATAAATATGTTCTTTCATGTAACATTTTGTTTACATAAGATTTGAACATCTACACCCCCTACCCAACTCTAGGACTGTAAAAAAAATACTTGTTATAGTCAACAGAAAAAAAGAAAAAAAAAAAAAAGATACAAGTTCTTCACTAAATGCAAAACTTTGATGAGAGGCTATGAGTCAAACAAGTCCAACCTTTGTTTACTCACATTCACTTAAAACATGATTCTGTTGAGACTGACTTCTTATTTCTAAATAATTTTCCCAGTCTCCAAAACTTGATTGTTAGAGATTAAAATGTGAAAACATCAATAAGCTAAGAAAATAGTTATTTTGAAAATGTGATCCACATTAGATTGTTTTATAAACATTCAAATGCTTTCATTGCCAAAACGTATTTTTTAAAATTTAGTTCATGTGTTGAAACATCACAAACATCTATTAATATTTAAAAGTTAAGTAACCAACCTCACAAAATTTTTTAATCATCAGAGTGCATGCTCGGATAAGAATAGCATCCAATTCAATATTTTCATCTTCCTCTTCAGTAAAACTTCGTACTGCATCCTGACATTCTTCAGATAATTTTTCATATTTATCCTGTAAACATCGTACTTCCTGAAATAAAACAATATAGAGGATTCAAAATTCTATTTCCTGTTAATGTAATATCTTTACAAATATGAAGTCATATGCACTGTATTTGAAGGGAAAAAAAATTAATAAAATCTCATGGAATTTTATAATTATGCTTAATTAATAATTTTGTATTTATAAATAAGTTTTGCTTAATATTATTTAATAAATTCAATCAGTGAATTTGTAACTTACTTGGCCTTTTGCAGTCTCAATTGAACAAAACTGACCAAGATCTTGTAAACAATGATCTTCAATACTTGGAAGTAAATCCACACTATTTGCTCTTTGTCGCATGACACGTTTAATTTCATGTTTGCACGCACGACTAACCTAAAGACAGAAAATTAGAGAATCATTTAGAAATTAAAGTAAAATTTTGCAGCTTCATGAAGATGAAATTTTAATTTTAAAGTTTGAATCAAGTTTAAAAACTAAAATTCTTTAAACATCTGTCAAGAAGTAATTATTTCATACTATGGAGTATATTACAAAATAATTTCAAGTTTTTTTTTTTTTGTTTTTTTTATAAGAAACATGCAAAAATGTTGATGCAGTAACAATTAAATTAATGAACTTTCATTCCATCATGTTTTGAATCAGAGAATATAAACAATATCATTATGACTACTATAAAATTAATCCAAATGTTATAAAAAAATTATGAATAAAAAATATTGCATTTACAAACACAAAACTATATTCAACATATACATGCAAGTCTTCATATTAAAATGCCAATTCATTCCAAAAATACCTTGGATTAAAAGTGAAAGGGTTCCATTTCAAAATTAATGGTGAAAATAGATTAAATGTGTGATGTTTGTTGATAAAAATCAATATTTAAAAACAAAGTATTGTTTAGTACTGTCTGAAATTTTGACATGAAAGATCATTATTCTATTAATTATTTTGACCAGCATCTTTGTTGATTGAAATATATTTTAGCAAATAGACTCTAGTCATCCTAAAGCGTTTGTCTAATGGAAATATCAAGGCTCATCAAGTAGTTAGCATGAGGAAAGGAGCTTAATCTTAAGAAAGGATATTTGATGCAACCAAGATAAAAAGAATATATCGCTGTGAACAAAAAGGGATTTCTGAAATTCTGAATGTGATATGTATCCAAAGATTGAAAAATACACAAGTCAAAATTTGATTAAAACAAGGATGCTGGACTAAATAATTCACAAGTAAAAGGAATATTTACAAATGACAACTTGCATTTTAAATACAAAGTATAAAATTGATAAAAGTCAGCATAATAGAGAATTCAAATAACATTACAGCTGAAAGGGAAAATTCAATGTCATTTCAAACTCAAAATTTATAAACAAAATCATCAGAAGCATATAAAGTTTAATCTTGTTGACAAGCATTTTGCTTCAGTACATTCTTAGCTACTCCTGGAATTGAGTTATTGGATTTGATTTTGATCTTTTATTTATAAAATTTTTGTTACCGATTTATTATATATTAAAATACAGATATATTCAATAATATTCAAATAAAGCCCGTTTTAATGGGAATATTGCATTTCAAGTTCATGTTCACTAAAGTATTTTACTTAGATTTTTAGTTAAAAACTTACAAAGAAAGATTTAGACAATGGCTTTTTATTAGTAATTTTTATATATGGTACTAGGCAAAATGTTCAAAATTTGTATATATTATATACATAAACACTTGGGAGCCGAAGAAGAGGCATTATATTGTAAGTGAATCAGAACATTTGCAAAAGGCTCAATATATACTTTATTTATGAAAACTTCAAGAGTTACATTTTTTCTTTTCTACATATTTAATCACTATAGAAAGGACCACAAATTTTGTAGTAAATAAAGTACAGATTATATATATATATATAATTGAATTTTATTAAATATACAAAAATTACTCAACTGCAAATTCAACAAAAAGCATCAGTTTTGTCTGTTAAAGAAAACTAAAAGGCTTTGTAGTTGTATCTTGATTGTATTGTTCACTTTCATTTGCTCCAAATACTTTGTGGCTTTTACACATTTTGCTGTTGAACGAGGTGTGGCATATATTATTCATCTTATAAAATAAATAGTTTTAAGTTTTAGTTAGTGACAGTTTACAGGTCGGCTGTTATATTTATTGACACTATTTTACATACAGTTACAATTTAAAATGGCCAACATTTGCTTTCCCCATAACCTTTAATCTTTTCTCATCTGAAATGCATGACTTCTGCACATTGTCTTCACTCAAATTGTACCACCATGTCAAAAGACGTTCTTTCAGGCCTCCCACACTTGAGTATGAAATACATGAAACATCACTCTTTAATATAGGCCATATCATGAAGCCTGTAGGATTAATATCAGGGCTTGGTTGAGGCCAAAGTGACCTGTCAAAAAATCCATGGAAATATCTCTTGCATCAGTCCTGCATCAAATTAGCCATGTGTGCAGCAGTGAAGACAGTGACTTCCAAATGTAGCTGACAACCATAGCAACACATCCCTCCTCAAGATTTGCAGTTAAACTATTCACTTTTACCCCTTCTTCAATAAACACCAAGGGTGATTTTGAACCATCAGAAACAGCACCAGCCCAAACCATGGCACCAGTTGCTTCCCGTCACTTGAAAAGCATTCTGACATCTTTAGGAATATTTCCTGGTGAAGTGGCATAAAGCTTATTATCTTGGTAATTGACCACAGCCTCCACAGTAATAAATTTCTTATCCAACCAAAAAGAGACTTTGAAGGTGGCATGCTGCATCTCCAACATTTTCCTCCCCCTCCCAAGCCATTTTTACTTGGAAGCAAACAAGAGAAGTTGTCATCATTGAATTGTATATGGTTTTAGCTCTAAACCCTTTTTTACAATCCACCTTAGCGACCGAACTGAAATAACCAGCTCTTTTGCTATCTTCCTCATGGATTTCTCTTCATCCTCTTTTTGATGGCTTCAATGACATTCCTGGTATGAACTGAATAATTTCTTCAAGGAATTTGATTTAATGAGGTTGTCTGCGCTTCTTGAAACTATTTTTTTTTCACATTAAAATGTTTTTCTGGAAACATTCAACAGTTTTATCACCTCACAATTCTTCATACCAGCCATTTTCAATGCAAACATTTAATCAGGTTTAGTTTGTTAGGAAACTTTATGCAAAATTTGAAACTACTTTTATGAATAGGTAGATTTTGATTCATTTATATGTATTTAAATGGTCAAATCTTTATGTTTAAATAATAGGCAAATATTTATGCCACACCTGGTATTCCTTGGAAGAAAGTTTACTTTTCTTCATTCATTATAGTATTAAATAAGGTGGAGATATAGCCTTTTGGAGAAGTCATCAGTGACTTTCTAGCAGATAGTAGTTTTTCATCAATGTGATTCAACTTTGAGTCTTGCATTTTGAATGAACTTCAAAGCAAGTTAAGATTACATTTCACTATTTTTGTTTTTGATTTTTTTCATTCACAAAAGATTTGTTTCCCCCCACTCAACCAATGATACCATGTCTCTGACACTTCCTTATACTAAATTAGTCTTATGCAAGAGATTGCTTCCATGAAAGCAGGAATATTACTTAATAGCAATGATTTATCATCCTGCAATTTTTTTTTATATACAAAAAAAATTTTAAAATGTATCATGCTTGCTGACGATGTACTAAAAGAGCAGTATACCTACTGTTTCTGAAAAACAAAAATATTTTTTATAAACATGTTGAAGCAGATTTCATTTAAAATGCAATATAAAAAAAAATCACTCAAAACAAGACCAATAATTTAACAGCATGACCAAGTTTCATTTAGCATATTGATAACTTGAATATAAGAGCATTTCCATATTTTTCAGTTCAGATTTGTTAAAAATTATATAGGACAAAAACTGCCAGACAGAATTGCTTTAGGAGTAAAGGAAAGAATACTGTGAATTAGCCAGAACAGGGCCAAGTTTATTCATTTCTATATGAAAACAATGAAAATTATTTTGAAAAATATCCTTGTAGTTAAGGTGAATTTTGTTCAGATATTGATACTTCTCATTCTCTCTTCAGAACATTTGAATAGAGTTGATCTGTTTGCAGTGTTATCAAAATAGATTAAGGGAGAAAGAAAAAGAAAATAGAGGTGTCAACAAAACTACAATAAATGATAAGTGAGGAAAGTAAGGGGAAAATAGTTTGAGACTAAATAGAACCTAAATTTTCAAGTAAAGCTTCTCAGGTTTCAATGACAATTACAACTTAATTAGTTTATTAATCTCGTCTGTCAAACTGCTTCATGAAAAAAATCTTTGCAAGAAGATAAAGATATTTTGAAATTGCATGACTATCATAACTATCAATAATAGTGACCAACAAACTCTTACTTCAACTAGTCCCATTCATCACCGATTGCTTCCCTTATAATTGATCCTACAGTTAAAATTGGTATTACTAATAGTGCTGCTTTTATTTTTGTTAATGCAATTATGAGAAGAATGGGGAGGTGCAAAGTACATGCTGTGATTGTACCATTTGACAGAAATGCACATGCAGCTAATGCTCATTGGTTCTAGATAACCAAATCAGTCTGCCACTAAGTTTAATACTATCTAGTCAGGTTTAATTATTATGTGAAATTTTTGTAACATTGTGTTGGAATGTTTCGGCAATCTTTATGATGGCTGACAAATTCAGGTAAAATACCTGCATCAGATTTTGCACTAAGGTCAGCAAATCTGTTATAGAAACTCTTGAAATATTGTTAGGTTTTGCCAAACATTCTTTAGGTTGAAGATAGGTTTTTAAGTGGCATGTGTGTTTCAAGGCTGGTCAAGTTTGGGTTTAAGTTGATGAGTGTTCAGGGTAACTAATCACCAATCCATCAATTCTAGGACATGACTGGAATCAGTTATAGAATCTGTCAGGAGATCCTAGTCCAGATATTTTCCAGTACCATCTCATTAATAAAACTCATTTAGTTTCCTGGTACCAATAGTTTTTTTCTGGGTTACTTCTATTATGAAATAATCTTTATTGTTGATATCATCATCAAGGTAAGTTTATTAAATTCTATCACTGATTTTAATGATCTTATGTCAGAGTTGTTCTTCACTATATGATTGAAACCTGAGCAATATCAGTGAAAATGCTTGGAAATTTGATTTATAAAATGCAAATTGTTTTGGTTATTTTTTGTGAATATTTTGAAAATATTGAAACCAATAATATTTACTTTATTTCTTTATTAATTTAAGATGTTGAAAATTAAAATATAATTCCTGATTGTATTTTCATTTTTATAAAAATTTAAAAGATTTAGTAATATCTTAAATATATAGAAAAATGCACTATAATCTGTGCATTGTTTATACAATTACATTTTACATACAAGTTTATGTTTGTAGAATTTATATTTTCATATTTTTATTTAAAAAAATATCTAATAAAGTAACTAATTTTTCTGTTTAGTTAAAAAGACTATAATCAATATTTATTCAGTTAAAGTTTGTGCTAAATTTTTCAGTTACAAGCAACCCCAATAAATAGAAGAATGTTCAAATTAGAACATTACTTAAATTTAATTAACTTTTATTTACTAACCTTTATAATCATAAATAATTATATTTTTTTTATTTATAAATTATTTTGTTCCTCAGTCAATTAATTTTTTATGTAAGACTTAGTCATCTGATTCTTACTAAGTCAATCTCCTGAAGTAACCAATGATAGTAATATATTTAAAATGTTAATTTAAAAATGTATTCACTTGTAATATTGATTTGGCAAAAGATAAAAGCTCTTAAGGCTGTAAATGATACAAGAAAAACATATGCAAGGATTTCTTAAGATGCTTTTTAAAAGTGAAACATGGAAACGAATTTTTAACTTATTGAATACAATTATGCTAACTACATTTTAACCATCTACTAAAATAAAATTTGATTCAGGTTGAATGTAACATTCTAAAGAGACAGTGGGAAAAGGAGAAAAACGAAAGAGGGACATGTGCAAGGTACAGGAAAAGCAGAAATATTACTAAGCATTTCCTCAGACCTTCTTCGATTTAGATTGTCGATACAAACAGGCCAGCACATACTGAGGCGGCCGGCTATCTTCTAAACCACCTTGGAGTGTTTCATCAAATTGCCGCCAGTCTCCAGTCACATGACACAGTTCTGCTGCATCCTTCCTACATTTGCGATATACTGATGGAGCCAAGCTGCCCAAATAGTACAATAAAAGTCCAATTCATCAAAACAAACACTAACAAACTCTGAAAAAGAAAGACTTTTTAATAAATAAATAAATTGGGTAGTATAATCCTGTAAGCAGAGTCAGTACTAAAGCAAACAAAAAAGAAAATATCAAAACAGAACTGTGCAGTAACTCAACAACTGATTGTAATCTAAGTGAGAAGGTGTGTGTGTGTATATATATATATATATTCTAAGTTTGTATATCATAGCATAAAAAATATCAGTTTCATAAATTACTGCACAGTTATATTAAAAAAAAACAAAAAAAAAAAACAAACAAACAAAAAAACAGAAGTTAACCAAAGAAAACATTTAAACCCTCCCACATTTTATAAGATACTGGTTTGTCAGAAAAACTATTTGAATTTCTCTGAAAACATTAAAAAAAATATTGTTAGCATTAAAATTTCAAAGGGATATTAATGAGTGAAGAAAAAATCTAATTGATGCCTACGACTCATTAGCTACGTTTTTAATGCACATTTATTAAAACAAAAGTTCATCTTGGTATATCAGAGGTACCATGAATGTAGCAGTGTAAAATTCAATAATTGATTACTTTTTTCAAAGTAAAATTAGTAAATTATTATATCTGATGTGATAATATATCAACAGGTGAAATAATTGCATTTAGAGGGCAGGTTTATCTTAAGTTTTCTTTTTTAATGTTGATTGATTCATTTTTTTTTTTTTTTTTACAGTTTATCAACCCTTTGCAGGTTATTTAAAGACAGAAAATATTTTTAGATTGTAAGAATTTTTGGGGACTGACCCATAGCTGGGGGCGGGAAGAGGCAAGTTCATACCTTCCCCAAGGGTATTTGCACATAAGTGAATATAACAAAGACAATGAGAATTAGAACTTGGATCTCTGGTTAGCAATTCCAAGCCATTATCCATTACACCACCCACACATGCAAGCTTACAGTACCTGGTATTCCTAAGCAATCATCCATCTAGGTACTGACCAGGCTCTAAAATGCTTAACTTCAGTGATCATACGGGAACCAATGTTTCAACAGGATCTGGCCGTATGCCTTATGTTAAGTTGTATGTATTCCAGAGATAATAGTTAAATACTGATGTAGCTTATACTGTTAGTTATTGAGAAATTTGCAGTTATGAGCAAATACAATTAGTTTTTATTTATCAATAATCAAATTGTAAATTAAACAGCCAATATAAATATCATAGCATGTATAGTAGCCCCCATAGTAGATTATATATATCTCATGGAGCACACTTTACAACAAATAGCTGTTTAAATTTAGTTGTACGAATGATCATATATTCATTCGGGTTTCTCTTTAACATTGCTTTATTCTTAGAACTGAAACATGATTAGTAATTTTTTTTCTGGATTAAAAAAAAAAAAAAAAAATGATTTCAATATTAAAGTGATTTAACATAACTTCTGATAACAAAGGGATATTTTTTTTTTTTTATATGTAAATTTCATTTTTTTTTTTTATATATGTAAACTTTTAAGGGAAACTATTTAAAAAGGAAGTATCAAATATTTGTCTATATCTATGAGATGAGGAATTATGATTACTTACATTATTTGGACTCTTATCCTTATCTTCATTGCTATATTCACAACATTTCAGCTACTGTACGCTCCAGCCCCTCTCAGGTGATTGGAATTTCAAACTGAACCCTTTATTTCATACACCAGGGTAGATTGTTCTAGTTCCATGTGCCATGCCTCTTCCAGATGTCTCAGTTATTTCCCTTTAACTCAACTCAAAGTGTTTGGTTCACCACTGCTGTAACCTGGTATTGAACTCTTTGGGTCTAGTCACTGGATCTAATCAACGCCTTTATATGTCCTTGAGGACTGGTGAACCAAAAACTTCGAGAGCTGAGTTAAAGGGAAATAACTGAGACGTCCAGAAGAGGCATGGCACGTGGAACTAGAACAATCTACCCCAGTGGACGAAATAAAGCGTTTATTCAAAATTCCAATCACCTGAAGAGGGCTAGAATGTACAACAGCCAAAACATTGTAAATATGGCAATGAAGATGAGGATAACAGTTCGAATAATGTAAATAATGTATAAAGTATCAAATATATATAAAAATATAAAATATAAAAACTGAATCTATTTTTGCATTTAAGCTTGATGAAGAACTAAGATATTTATAGAGTAAAGAATCAGCAATGAATGATTCAAGTGCTTGAAGAATTGTTAATACAAATGATAGTTTTAGATTAAAAGTTTAGATACTGGAAACAGGCACTAATATATAAAAGTAACAAATAAAAATAGTATGAGATGCAGATGGAGGGAAATTATTTTTCAATGATTGAAAAGGAGAGAAAAAACAAAGGAGAGGGAGAAAAAAAAAACATATGCACAATTTTCAAAGAACTGCAATTATTAGTCAATGTTTTCAGAGAAAACAAAAGATAAAAATGCAAGATGATGTCCAAATCAGTAAATGTGTCCATTATTTTTAAAAATACTGAACTTAGAAAATATGCCTGCCAAACATGAATAATTAGGTGCTAAGCCGTACACTTACACTTATTTGTAAGTATACAAGAATTGACAGTTAGCATGAAAGCTCACCTGTTTGCCAGATTCTTTACCATTTTTCTTCATGTGGTTGTAGAGGCATGGCAGAATTAAGGGGGCATTGTCAGGACCCCTGGGATTATACCAATCCTTGTCGGCATGGCACAAAGTCACAGCATCCTTATGACAGTATTTGTAAATCTGGCCATCTAATCTGCAACCCAACATTTGTACAATAGCTCATACCCTTCCCATACAGGTATTTAAAATAACTTAAAACACAATAATTAAAAAAAAAACAAAAAAAAAAACAACAAAACAAAGAAAAAGAAAAAAAGAATTCTATATTGACTTATCACAAAAACATTAAAACAAAGAGCAATTAAATTATCCCAAATATGCAAGACACTGTTTTTCATCTGTGTGCATACACACACAAAATTGAACAATGCATTTAATTGTATATATTACCAAAATTGAGAAGATTGCATTGAAATAATTACTATACAAACATTAAATTTATCTACATGTGCAGAGTTAACATATGCAAATATTAGTCCTCTGTATAAACATGCATCCAAAAATATATCTAAAATTCCTAGAGAATTAGTGGAGAAGGGAAGTAATTAAAAAAAAAAAAAAAATGTAATCCCCAAATGCAAAGATTTTCTGAAATTTTATTTTCAAATTCAAAATATGAATTTCTAAGAAAAATTAAATCCAGCAAATTTGCTATAAGAAATTTAAGAATTCAATATTTAAACAATCACTGATCAGTATTTTAAAATTTGCAAATTAGTTCTGGATAAATGACAACTTTGAAATACACATTTTTCTATGTACACAAATTATAACCAGGCTATTTTTAAGTAAAATTTAAAGTAGATATAGCTATTTTTCTCGGTAATATTTTGACATTTCCCTTCTACCTTCAATCAGTTTGAAGTATCAATTGCTGATGTAGCAGAATGCTCTGCTTGGAAATTCTCTTCCAACCTTACTCTTGACTCTTCAAGACTATCTTTACTGGATTTTTCTCCTAGAATTGAATATCTACCTGAAGAGTCAGGAGTATTTTTATTTTCCATCAAGTTATCCTGGGCATTTGGTCTTGATAGCCCTTTGTAACTAGCTTAGCAAGTTTTGCATAGTACTCCATTGGTGGTGTGGCACTTTTGAAGACAGTCAATAAACACAATGCTGTTTACATCACTTTCCTTGCAGTCTTTGGAGCAGGTGAGGAGGGGTGCTTCCACTGCATGTATTGTTAATTTGTCTATGGCTCAAAGTGATTAACTCAACTCTTAAGGAAACCAGCTGGATCTGCCTCAAGCAATGTCAGATTTTCCCATGATTAGTTTAACCTGGTTTGCTTTTGATCAGGTGTCAGAAGACACAGCACTGACCAAGCAGAAACTGTTGTCATACCAAGTTCACTGTGCAGCATATACACAACTCTCTCATGGGATATGCAAATAGTACTATTTGATTTATAGTCAATCACCTGTCATCCATCACCATGTGGTGAACACAATCATTGTTTCCTCTCAGTGGTGGCAATTGCAGGACATCTAGAACTTGGGTTATTTTCAAAACCCCCACTTCCCCTCCTAAATTCAGCTGCCCACTTTTGCACTGTTGATAAAGCTGGAGCATCATCCCACTAATATAGTAACCATGTCAGCATAAATCCCTGGGGGCTAAACACTTTTTCTGCAGGTACTTGATAACAAAGATGCCAAATTTTGTCTATTTTCAAGATAAGTTGCTACTAGTTACTGAAGTCTTCTTTGAATATTTAGGTTTCAGTTTACCTGGAAAGAAGCAATGTCCTTACTAACAAGAAGAGTTGAAATTAAAGCATGCAAGATTTCATAGCTCTAGTGTCACTCCTTCATAGTTAACCTATGAACATTTCAGCCCACCCTCATATAGTTTATCAGAGAAAACATACTAATTTTAAAAAAAACCATCACATGTTCACTTTTGAAAATGACCATTTCAAGGTAGATAACTTTTTATTGAATTATATAACTTTTTAAATTCTTAATTTTAATTGATCTATAAAATAAGCTTGTAGACTTTCAATTTTATCAGTAGTTATTGAGATAAACAAGTTGGCAACTTCAAGTGAGATAAGTATAAAATGATTGTTTTATAAAACGGAAGATAAAAATGTGAATAATCATTTCATCTCAAGTCGAGTCAATCAACAGCCACAGGTGATCTGCTCAGAAAAATCTGGGAAAATTTACAAGTATCCCTTGCTCAAAATTATTAATAAATCAAATATTATATCTATATCTTTAACAGTTTTAAGATCAGTAGTTTTTGCTAAATATGGCTTTCAACAAATTTCTGATATCCATAGCAGCAAGGATATTGCACATACAGATTTGAATCTTGGTGACAATAGTCAATGTTTACTGTAGATTATGAAAATATAGACAGCTAAAGTGTCATACATTGTTTTATTTTCATAAAAACCTGAAATGGACAAAAAGCTAAAAATTTAAAAAAAAAAAAAAAAAAAAAGAAAAAAGCCAACACTATCCACTTTGAAAGACACAAAATATACAAATTAGTTTTTCTATCATTTTTGACTTAATAGATTGTTTGTACACAGTATACATATTCATTTAAAGGAATATCACTATTACAGTTTGGAAATTACTATTTCCTTAATATATATAACTGAGTTTCTCTACTATATGCCAAGAGAAATATGATGATATAAGATATATGGTCTTGAAACATGAAGAAACCAATGCTACTATTTCACTATAGATAAAGAAGCAATGTTGTGAATATTTATATCAATATTGGTAAAATATGAATAGTTTTATTCTAATTACAATTTTCAAAGAATGAGAAAGAAAAAAAAAAATCACAAAGTTCATCATAAAAATCTTTCATACAAGTGTAATAAAAGTTTTAGATATTCACAAGTAGAATTTGTCAATATATACATATTATTACCTATAGAGAAAAAAAAATCATGTTAGGAAATGACCAAGTATTTCTAAATTAAAAAGAAGTATTTTTTTTTTTCATCGCATGCTTGAAATGATTTGCTAACCTCAGAAAATAGTCAATTTCTAACTTAAAGATCACTTATTGAAAGTTTGTGATCAATTATGCCAATGTTTATACAGAGGACTAACCAAAAAAAAAAAAAAAAACAAACTTTTCTATATGCAAAAGCAAACATCAAATAGCATCAAATATATTACAGCAACAATAAAGCAATTTTAGATTTTGACAGATTTACACTCAAAATTCTGGTATATTTCTAACTATATTTAAATTTTGTGAATCTGAAGAATGGTGTTAAGAATATAACTTGTTTTTGATTGTGATTTAAGTTGTACATTTAAGATTCATAAAAACATAAAAGTAAGTGGTGGAGCATCATGAGTGTCTATGTTCTATTGAAGAAGTTGAAGTTGTTTTTGAATGGTCCAAAACATGGATGATACAGGTCAATTCTTTTGTACCAGAGATATTTAATGGTGAAGAAGTTTGAGAGCAGAAATTACTGGTTTGAGAACAATGTTATTTTTTTCTAAATCAGATTCAGCATTAAAAGTATACAGTTAATTCATTCAATACTCTTAGAGGTTTCTGCTCTAATGAGATGTTTAGCCTGCATTTTTGTTTTTTTTTTAAAGTTTGGTTAAACTTGTCATCGTTTTCTTTTTATTGAATGTTAACATTAAAGATTGAAGATGATAACAGTGTCACCATGTGTTTTTTTTATTATAAAAAGGTTATTAAAATGTCAAAACAACCGATTCAGTTCATGGAAAATTTACAGAGTGTTCAGACATATCAAAAGTGGTTGCAAAATTGCAAGTAAACCTGTTATTGACAGTGACATCAAGCATATTCAATATTCTATGTTATCCAACAAACAGAAAATATTCAAATCAAGTGTTGAAAAATATCAGTTGCTTTGATATATAGCTTCCTTGTAAGCAAAGAAAGGGTGGGAGAAGTACTGTGTGATTCTTGGCTTACATGTTTCTATATTTCAAAACAAATTTTTTTAATAGGTGATAAAACAGATACATTACTATGTGGAAGAAGAGAGATCATCAAACAAGTAAAATGAACCAAACCCAACACCACCAAATGCCTGTTTGCATTCAAAATTGATACAATGTATATGGTAGGATCAAAAAGAAGTCCTCTATGAGATTCAACCGTAGAATCAAATGATTGATTTAACAAGTATTGCATCCAATTAGATGAAAGTATTAGTTATTAGAAAAGGCATAATATTCTATCTATTCTTTCTCAGTTTTTAAAATTTGGAATTTCAAAAACTTAAAAACTACAAAGTATATTAAGGTATATTTTAAAATTTGATCTTTCAAAGCTTAAAATATATTTGCTGTTAAAATTACTACATAATATTTTTCTAGGCAATTGGAAAAAATTTATCAATAATATGCATCATTCCAAAAATGTTTTAATAAACAAAATATTTAAAAATCAGTAATATCAGCTTTAAGTTGGTTTAAAACAAATCTCTAATGAAAATTTATTTTATTTGAAGAGACATTTGTATATCAATTTCAAAAACATGAAAAACTTCAGAAAAGGGATGCCATATATACTCGCATACCATGTGACCTTTTGTTATGTCTTTATGTAGTCCAAAACCTATTACCACACGCAGACACTTTATACTTAGTGACTCATCTCTCTTATAACCTGTGAACTCCCTCTCTTTTTAAATATATAATAGTAGTCACCAACCACAAAAACAATTAGGTCAGACAACTGATGACCACAGAAGCTAAAAATAGATTCTCACATGTGCAGAATTACATGACCAAATAGGAACGTTGAGAGGGAAAAGATTGACAGAAGCCAGTTAGGTAACAAAACCTGAAGTCGGACTGCCTATGAAATCATTGTGTAACCAGAATTACTGAACTGAAGAGAATGAATGATGTTCCTAACTTACAAATTTCAAGCACAGAATCAACTGGAAATGAGTCTTGTGCAAATAACACCTCTATTAACTTGTTAAGCAAGAGAGATCACACAATCAAAGATAAATTCCAATTCAACTCAACACGCTATGCTGCTTACATCAAATGCATAGGTGAATTGTGAAACATGACAATCACCTGGCATATGACAAATTCAATTGGATGAAGGGTCCGAATAATGAATACTGCATTGCTGAATATACTACTTCTATAATGCCAAATCTCCATAACCGAATAACAAAAGCTGCATTGAAGAATAGAATTAATAGATTAAAAGAGCCACTTGGGTGAAACAAACTGATTTGAAAGTAAAAAGGACAAAGAGAGACATAAGAGAAAGAGAGAAGGGAAAAAGAGGAAACCTTATTTTATTTCAGAATAAAAACTGAAGTTTTTGTTTCAACTTTTAACCTCAGAATATAACACATACATCTTTCCACACACAAATTTATAGCACACATCTTTTCATGCATTTTCTTGCATATTTTTTTCATATATTGTCTATTTATAATTAAATTTTGTTTCATTCGTTACTATTGATTGTTGTTCAGAATTTGTGTATTTGACCCTGTGGAGAATCCGCCTACTATGGAGTGGTAAACCTGATGTCTTCTCGACAGTGAGTTTATACTGTGGTAATTGTCCATAACACCTTTGAAGCTAATTTGACTACAGTAAATGGATATATATTTTGGTCAACAGCATAGCCAGGGCCGCCAGTACATATGCTGATTTTATATTTTTTGTATAATGCAACCACCTGAAAAGTAGCTTTAAAATTAGGTCTTCAAAAGTCACATGATACGCAAGTATATATGGTAATTTAGAAAAATCCAAGTTTAATATAGTTCATGATGATATAAAATTAAGTGAGAGTCAGATACAGTAAGATATGTTGAAAGTTTTAGGGTGAAGTTTTCCACCGTACTATTAAAACTAGGCACAAGTATATTTAATTCAGATATTAAATATGCACTGAATTTTCTCTCATTATAGTAATTAAAATTTATTAACATGAAATAAAAAGTCTATATGATCACCAAAAGGACATTTTTCTGGTGAAAACTAAATAAATTTTCAAGATACAAATATAAAAGAATACACATACCATCAAGCTCACTATGATTAGCCATGTTTTTTTTCCAAAAAGGAAAAATATCTGGAGTGTCGAATCTATTTACTAATAAGATATAGCTAGAATATATCCTAATTTCAATGTACTTGACCTGTTTTCTGTAAGATTTAAGATATATAAAAAGTGATATTATGTTGTTTATGATAGCTTTAATCAAACAAAATGTGATTCAAATATAATTACTCTTATAGTAAAATTAGCTGAAGACAGGAAAAACATTTTACCAGAATTCTGAGTTCATTTTATTTTTTTTAACTTTATAATAAAATATTTAGAAATAAAGGATACATTTTCAGCAAGTTATCAAACCTTTTTTCATTAAATTTAAAAAGTAGAAAAAAAAAAAAATTTGTATGTAAAAGAAAAACTGGGCCTGGCTACTGAATGGTTCTCAACACAGCCAATATTCCAAGATCAAATCACTAAGCAATTTTTCTATTTTTTTAAGCATGCACATAGTGTCAAGAATTCTCATCTAAGCTCACTCATCTATTATGACAATTGTTGGAGATGAGAAGTTTTATCACACCCTCATGTGTGCCTGATAATTGCATGAGCATCATTTACAACCACGACGGACTTAAATTAGCCCACCATGTTTGCAAATGATGCTCATTTATTTTTAAAAAAAAAAAAATCAACATGTCACTAGCATAGGATATATGGTATATGTAAATTAGAAATGTTGCATTTCTACAAAATTCCAGGATATAGTCAATAAGCTATGACAATAATGTTCTTGATAACAGTTATTAGTGTTCAGAAACACATTATTCTGAATTAATTTGATGTAGGACAATTTATATGCAAAATGAAACATTTTAGCAAGACAGACCCTTTTAAATGATTTTAAGGAAACTGGTATTAGGAATAAATTTAATTAGAATTAGGCTATGAGACATTTAGTCTTTCTGATCATTATGATTCTCAGTAGAGGAATTTGTTTTCATGTCTGCATTTGGAAATGAAGTCTTTCTTTTTTATTTTTATTATTTTATTTAGCAGTTAATCTTCTGTAAAAATGTAAGTATCACTATTTTCTCCTTGAGGCAAAGTTACATTGTGTTGTTGTTAGCTGTTGTTTTTTGGTGTCTTTTGGTTTGTGTTTTTTTATCTGCCATGTGATTTGATAGTGTACCATGCTTTGTATATTTTCTGTTAATGTTCTGTGTGTAGCTTGTTTCTAGAGACCTTCTGTTATACCATATTTTTACTGGGTTTCTTTTGGATCTTACTATAACGTTGTAAATTAAATTTATTTTGTAGATAATTACAATTCAGTGAGCATTTGTGCTTTGTTCTGCAGTTTATATTTGTGTGTGTGTGTGTATATATATATGGTTTTGAAAATGACAGAGTGCATTCTGTTGTTGAAAAAAAATAAATAAATAAGATAAGAACCCACAAATCATAAATGATGAAACTGAAAAGTCCATAGGAGTTAAATCAGGAGCCACGGCTAAAATAAATTTATTACTAAAACAATAAATTGATGCAATAAGCTCCTAGTGAGTATAAAACGGAAAAAAATTTTGTACTCACAACCCACCCATGAGACACAGAGAATGAAAAATGTTCTCCTTCTGCCTGCACAAAGTTAGTTGATGAAGTGTGATATAAACAGCTTCTAAAAAAACATAAGTATTTAGCTGATCAAGATTTGCACAGTACTCTAAACACTTCATCAGAATATTTCAAAGTGCAACCCAAACAGATTGTTCACAAAAATATAGTCCAATCGTTGAGTTACGAACTGACTGAGTCAAGTGAATACTGTTGCTGACTCCACCCTGTCTTATATGAGTAGGTATGTGCTGTCCAATCTGGGTCTCCAACCTCAAGTTGGTTCACCCCACATAATTAACCTCAGACATTTAAATTGGTAAATAGCAGAACTACTTTTCAGGTAGGGCAAACCATTCTTAGCAAAAGATAAGAACATTGGAATAGTATCAAAGACAACACACAACAGCAGAAAAGCTGAAAGTCACACGCATCAACAGCTTATTGGCAAGTCTCTGACTATTCCTACCCAACCATGATAGTTTTAAATAAACTGAACAAAGACAAGGTCCAAAAACCATGGAAGCCTTAAAACACCATACATTTAACAAAGTCCTCTGGGTAACTGTTATCCCGGAAAATATTGTAACTGTTCACCAATACCCACTCCAATTTATGTGTATATATTATTGCGCATTTGGGCAGCAATCCCTCTTTTATACAAGTTTCATTAAAGACAACTAACAAGGTACTGTGATTAAGTTTTTTTATTTAATTTTTCTTGTGTTTATATAATTTTTCTTCTTTTCTGGACAAAAACATGTAAAAATTGTCCAAATGTTCTGTATGCTCCTTCAGCTATTCTTATAGACATTATAAAGGATGATTTTTATTTTAAACTGAATGTATGGATTTTTCATGTATGTATCTAGAGTTATAGAAATGTTTTTTTAATTTATGAACACAGTCAGCATATTGTGGCCATGTCTATAGTTGATCATACTAGGTGTTGGTTTTTCTTTCATTTTCTTTATAATGGTTAAAAGAATATCCGAAAGCACTGACATACAGATTATGGTATATTTATTTTTTATTGTTGTTTGATTTTCATTAACCAAAGGAAATCAAACACAAGAATAAATATTACAGAACTTCTTTCCCCCCCACCTCAATATCCTATTCACTGATGAAGATTTAATAAAAGCGAAACATGTTAGATTTATAAATGTTTCCGAATAGTTCTTTATCCTATGTCTTTCTCATATATTTATATATGTACGCACATACACAAGATGCTCCAAAAGTAATGCTTCCTATTTTATTATATTAAATTTCAGAAGCAGATTATGGGGGAATAATGTATTTTAGCAGTGGCAACAGCAATATGGTAAACCATGTTCCTAATAGCCCAGGAAACAAAAAACACCTTAAAAATGCATATCCAATGGCAGTAAATATGTGGAAAAAATGTGTTTTGTGACAGAAAATGTTTTATCCAATAATGTTATTGTACTTACTGTATCTGTTGTAATTTCCACAGAAATAAATAAAAATCATTATTTTCAGGGTGAAGCATGTGTCTTTCTTTCTCTAACTCAGTTTGTTCCCAGTTAACAATTCTAAAGGTTAAGAATGTTTAATTAATTTAATGCTAAACATTCTAAAATATGTAAGGTGCTTTAAACTTGTGCAAAATGTAAACTTCATTCACTGATGTAAACAAAAACAAGGTAAAAAAACAAAAAAAAAAAAAAAAACTTACCGGAAATTACGAGAGATGAAGTATTGAATTTCAATCAGTCTTTCTTCACAATCACCAGTCATTTTGTCTGTTCCAAGTTTTTCCATCAAACAACTTAATATTCTGTAAATAGTTTAATAAAATTTAAAAAGAAAAATTACACAATTGTTTTTGTTACAGGTTGCTGTGTAAATAGACATTTCTCAAATTTTCAGAACAAAATATGACTTCAAATTAGGTATCACGCAGAGTTAAAACAACCTACATTTAAGGACTTTGCAGTTTCAAGTTTTGTCTGTAAGATTAGGGATTATTATAGGAATAAAAAAAATTCTGATATTAAGTCAGGACAGTCAAATGAAAACTGTGGGTTTTAATAAAATCTATTATAAAATGCAGAGATTTAAAAAAAAAAAAAAGTAGTCTTAGAGACATAAGCAGAGAGAGAAACAGACACACAGGGAGATACATGTACACAGTGAAAGCCAGTGAGAATGTGAGTGAAAATACTTATGAAAGATGTTATTTTAAAGTTGTTATACAGTAGGTAAATTGACGAAAGAGAGAAATACACAAAAATATGGAAGGGCCTGAAATATCAAAGTTTGAAGTAAGATCATCACCGAGCATGAACAGGAACAAAGCAATATAATTAGATGGGATTGAATAGAGAAGCTATCAGTGTTAGATGATTTCAGGGCTTACAGAAATAAATGAAATATGTGACAGTGGCGACATACTAGAAAACCTTAATAAATCCATCATTGTAGTACATCTCATGAAGCCAGGTGCAAATGAATGTGTAAGCTCTATCAATAGATAGATATATAATGAGCTGCATAACTAAGCTTATAATCTTGATTCTAATGAATAGAGTGCATAGCAGAATTAGACTGAAGATAGGTCAGGACAAGTGGGGATTCATGAAAGACACTAGAACAAGAAATGCAGATTATGCAAAAGCATTTCATAAGGTAAAACAATACAAATATCTATTTGAACAATTAGGAAAACTTTATTTTGAAAAATATTAGAATAATCTGGAACATTTACTAGGAACTAATTGCATGCATAGAAAATGAATTTAGCAAGTACAAACATAGAAAGAGGCATCTTCTCATCAGATTTATTCAACCTATACAGAGAGGTGATCCTAAGTGAACTAAAAAAAACTTAGAAAGATTTACTATTGGCAGATATAATCTTAACATGATAAACAGAGGACACTGTATTGATAACAGACACAAAATTAAACAGAGAATGTAGTAAAAGGGTAGTAAATGCTCAATTGTAAGATAGAATGTATGGTTGCTAGCAAGATGCTAACTACAAATTGGAGAGATTAGAATCAAATAAGTACAGAAAGTTAACTGGAAAGTGCTATAAAATTATGGAAAATGTGACACAAAAATCCTAAGGCATAATGAAATAGTGAAAGATGCCTTCCAAAACTAAAGGTATTAAGAGACAAGAAACAAAAGAAGGAGTGCTGATCAGCTAAATAACATCAATTCTCCTATATGACAATGAATATTGGACAATTTCTTTAAAAATTATGAGGCAACAGAAATGTAAATCATACAAAAGTATGTTAAGAATACTATGGACAAAACATATGAGCAACAAGTTTTAAGGAGAATGGGAAAGGAAAGAACACTTGCAATTAGAATCAGAAAAAGAAAGTTGAAATTTCTGGGACATAATGAGAAAAAAGAGTTTGGAGAATTTGGTACTCACAAGACACACTGGAGGCAAGAGAAACAAAGGGAAGCATCAAGTACCCTAGCTAATGAACATGAGTTTGTATAAATGGATGGCAGATCAGGGACAGGGGGGATAGTAAGGGAACAAACATTGCTTTGTAGAGAGACATGAGATTGTCCACATACAGAAGAATAGTAGTGGGTGAATATTAGAAAGAAGAAAAAAAGAAAAGAGGAAATTTTGATATCAGTACAAAACTTAGTGCTTTGCATAACATTTCACAAAATGCTTTTTAATTATTAATTTTTATTTCAACTTTAGTACATTATTTAATGGAGGTGTTGGCTCTGATATTATAAACAGAATTTAATGTTTGTTACAATCCAGCAAAATCTATGTGAGCCCTACACAAACCATATCCCAACTGCAATTTACTAAAGTGGGAGGCTAAACATGCCACAAAATAAAACCTCAAAAATGAGATTATGTTTAAAATGAATATATTTCATCATTAGGCTGTGAATTAACTCTCACTTTACCTATATGACTATGACTGGAATTCCTTGCCAGTCAAGTAGCAACCAATCCAGAAAGTTTTCATTCATTTATTTATTCTATTTCCTTTTCCCTACCATAGTGCAGTCACTTTGAAAATCTTACTTCTAGACTTTACTGCTAGTCATAAAACACCAGACCCTTCAGTGTCAGATAAAATCATTTAGGGAACACTTGACTGTGTGTAGCCTAAGCAAATTCAAATGGAGACCTACTCACATCACTGATGAGGGATTTTGTATATCAAAAAGAGAGGTTTAATCTGAATTATGTTAGCTCATGAAATTTGATAAATTTGTAAAATATACTTTTCATTAATGTATATCACTGTTTCATGATTTTGTTAACATTTAGGCATAATTTTCATTTTTTTTGTTTGAATTTAAATCATTAATTAAAAATATTTATTAAACTATTAAAAATAGTAAAATTGAAATTCAGGTAATTTTGATATCAAGATAGCCGAATATTTAACTGTAAGAAAGCCTGCTGTAGTGAAGTTAAAAGAAATCTTAATAGTGACAATGAAGAAACATGATGGTTACTCTAGTGACATTATGCAAAATAAGGAAAGTCTATTTTGCCTAGACTTAAGCATCTACTAAGTAAACGGTCACTTGGTACGTGGATAGAATTATGTCACAGACTAGAAGACATCAAAACAATATGGGCATAGTTTTGCTTTAAGAACTTTACATTCTCTGATGTGTTTAAAATGTTACTGACAAATGAGATTTTTCGCTGAATATTTCGTTTACGTGCCATGTTGGATTTCCCTATATGACAAAAACAAGGCTTTTAAACAGCCATGAGTGGGATGTAGCTGAAAACCTAGTAAGGATGGTAGACTCATTGGACCATCATGGTTTAAATATCCTGTATTGGACTTAATTTTTTTTTTAATCATACTTTCCTGAAACAGCCTGATTAATTGAAAAAAAACAACACACACACACACACACAAATACTTTCAAATCACAATATGTTGTTCATGAAATTATAGTGCCTTTCAAAGGGAATCCATACAGATATTCCAGCAATAACATTAAATCATAAAGAATTAAAAATTCTTAGTCCATGCTTCACAACAAAAATTCTGAATATTTCAATGGCAGTGAAAAATATTGAGATCTTAAGATACTCATGTGGGAACAATATTAAAATTATTAATAATAGTCAATTTTTAAGATTATTTTTATAGCATTGTAAAAAAGAAAAAAAAGAAACAGGTTTTATCATTTGATACATTTTTAAAACATTATTGCAGAATAAGGAGACATTTCATGTCAAGTCAACCAGCAATTTTTCAAATTTACCCTAAACTTTTTTTAGGGTAGTCAGATAAACATAAAAGCTTATAGCTTCTCAAATGGACTAGAACATTTTTCAATGCAATTCAAAATTAAGACAGTTTAGGCAAAATTATATGCAGAGGTATAAATATCTATTAGCACACACTTTACTCAACAACAATTAACTTTTGTACCAAGCTCCCAATTTGGCTGAAACCATAGCTGCAAAAGTTTTAGAACCCGAGAAATCCAAAAATAACACTTGGAAAAGCCCTAGAACTAGGGAAGTATCATTTGGGGGGGGGGGTAGGCTCTGTAAAACTTTTTTGAGCTTAGTAACTAATCATATTTGATTGACATATATGGTGCACTTTTTTTTTTACTAAAATTATCTTAAAATTCCCCGCGTCTTTTATGCCATATGTAGGTTTACTAATTTTACTAATTTTTACAGTAAAAAAAATTTACAAAATAACTAAGTTTGTGAAGAAAAGAAATTGAGTTTTTTTGCAAGTCATTTTTGACAGCAAATACCAGAATGATCTGATGCAGTGGGGGGGGGGACATGGTGAAAATGTTGTGAAAAGGAACAAATTTTGACATCACATGATGGCCAGTAACAGTTTTCAGCAGATCTGCAAGGATATATAAATTTACAAGCAACATTTCCCTTCAAGGTTTATTTAAAAAAAATGAGAGCCAACCACCAATAATTGTCATATTTACAGGTGACAGTCTACTGACTTTAATGACAGCACCAACTATGTATGCTCATGATCAGGAGCATTTAAGAATGTGTATATGTGAGGGGAAATACACTGAGTCTTCACTCAGTTGCTTTCATTTTATCAAAGGGAAAATAAGTGCAGTACTGAAAGCATTATCAATTTGGTAGAAAAGATGATTATTTTTAAACTTTAGTCATCAAAACTGCTACTGTAAGAGTGAATCATGCATTCAACCTTACAAGTAACTTATTTATTTTTACCTTCCTGCAAATTCAAATTCCATGAAAATCTAGCATGTCAAGAAGGGTAAGACCAGATTTAGAATTTACCAATGAGTTTAGTGAGCAGTCAAAAGGTGAACCACTTGGAGGGAAGAAAAAAGAAAAAGAAAAGAAAAACAGCATATTTTTTTTATGGTCCAGGTAAACTTGCATGAATTTCCAATTAAGTATTGCCTTACTCTGCATGTAAACTTTCACAACTCTAGAAACTTGTGTAAAGATTTTATGAACCTCCAACATCCTCTCTAGCCTAGTGTGAGAAATATTTTTATCACTGTTTGCTTAACAAAAAGATAGACCTCCATGGTTTATCATTATCAAAATAAATTACACAAACTTTCTAAGCATTGGTACAAATCATAAGACAATCATTGAATTTTCTCCTGACAACATTATTCACACAATCTAATTCCATCTTTTAATGGTTTTGTAACACAAATTTCATAAAATTTCCTGCTGCAAATTCCTACTTTTACTGCTTTGTTCAAATTGTCATGAAACATGACTCATACACCCCACACAAAAATTAATATTTTGAGGATGTCAGGTCCCGAGGTTCATACAGTAATCAATAACCGAGTGATACTTAGAGGTTGAAATTTAGGCAGGTTTTGCAATCACGTACTCTACTTCCTGATGTACTTCAAAGTATGAAAAATTGACAAATGACACCAGTAGATAGTATCATGGCACTTCATTAAAAATATATCCCAAAATAATGACCACCACAAAGATATGCTTTTGACCACTTAGTACTGAACACCTCTTGAACTGATTTATTCTAATTTCCCAAAGTTAAATTGTTTTGCAATGATTAGCCTACAGGTATTAAACAAATTTAGTTTGAAACCAATACATTTTGTAAAAAAAACATCCTGATTTTCAGAAGTTGTGAAATGTTAATGACTCTTATACCTTTGGAAGTTGTATAGTATTTAAGTGTAGTACCTAACATAAATTTAATTAATGCTTCAGTCAACTTTATGGTTCCCTGCTTTCAGATAAGGAACTCTTTAATTAATCATAGATATGAAAAAAATTGATAATGTTGATCATATATGCAGCTCACATTATGCAATTAGATAACTTTACATCTTGTAAAAGTTCCAACCTTGCTTGTTAAGAAAATTAGATTACTTTTTACTGCATTATATTTTTTTATCAACACTGAAAATGTTATGTCAGAAACCTTAAATCAATTCAAGCCAAAATGAGATTTTTCTCTTAGGCTTACAATCATTTAAATATCATTTTTGGATTTCTGGGGTAAAAAAAAAATTAGAAGGTATATTTTCAAGCCATTGGATCAAGATTCATTGAATTATTACAATTTTAAGACATAGTACTATGTCATGAAATAGCATCCATTTGGAGGAAAATGCTGAAATGTTCAGATATATCAAAATGGTTTTCCTGTGTGTGTGTGTGTGTGTATATATATATATATATATATATATATATATATATATATATTACAAGTAGTTAAAATTCAATACCTCATATGACATATGGTCATTTCACCCAAAACAGGCTTGTCAACACCAAGGAGTTAGATAATAATAATAATAAAAAAAAAACTCTTTGGTGTTGACAAGCCTGTTCTGGGCAAAATGGCCATATATCATATGGGGTATTGAATTTTATCTACTTGTAATTCATATTTGCCTTATAAATATATTCAGCTCTTCTGTGGATCAGTTTTAATATTTTATATTACTGGGATTCACTTAGATTACTTACCACAGAATTTTATATATATATATATATATATATATATATATATATATATGTGTATGTGAGTGAGTGAACATAGTTAAAAAAAAATGGCGATAATTTGAGAATTGAGAAGGGTGGTGCTTGGAGCTGGTAGAGTTGACATGGAAAGTACCCTATATAAGCAAAAATCATACTTATAGTAACTACCTTGCATCACCAGGTTGAATATCTCTGCAAGCAACATCAACGACTGGTTGACAGGCCTTCTGAAGTGCTCGGTCAATGCGGAAATCCTGTCCAATATCAGCTTCATGCAGAAGATTACTTAACTAAATGAAAGAATCAATATATTAATGGTCACAGTAATTTTAGATATTGTTTTGGAATTATTTTACTGGCAAAAAAATACATCAATATGTATTGAACATGCACTGAAGACTAGACTAAATATTGGTCAACCCAAAACATTTATTACATGGCATGGGGGGGTGATATTTACTGTCAATCAAGAAGATTGCTTTTAATTTTATTCTGAAATCTGTCATGTTAACTATTTTATTTTTTTTAAATGCTTTTCAAAACAGCTACTGTTGGGGAGTTTTAGTGGAATTGAAAGGAAAGACACTCAGTATAACCATAACAGCAGTTTGTGAGCCAACACAAAGTACAGAATAAGGTTTTACAACAAACTAAAAATAATACTAGAAACTCATGCAAATCACAGAGAATTATTATCATCATTGGGGACCTAAATGGAAAAAGTAGGAAAGGAATAAGATGGTGAAATAGTTAGCAAGTATAGATTTGGAGCAGAGCAAATTATTAATTAATGATCAACACCTGGTTTAAAGAACACCCAATCCACTAGTGAACATGGAAATTCCAGGAGGTAAAATAAGGAACCAAAGAGGACTACCTAACAATTAGTAAAATATTTAGACGTTCTACACTCTAAATATACCCAAGTGACAACTGTGGGAGTGATTGCATGTCAGTTATATGCAAAGTAAGGATAAAATTACAAAAATGAAAAACTCTAAAGCAACACCTAAATTACAACAGAAACTTCAAAATGACTATTTGCAAAGTTATAAGCAGATATAATTAACAACAACTATAAAAACTTAAAAGATGTCAATAAGTGCAACATTTTAAGAAAGCAGATATATCAAAGGAATAAAAGAGAATACAGAATGTTAAATACAACAGTAGAAATAGATGCAAACATGCAAAAGATGAATGGCTCAATAAGATGTATACAAAGATAGAAATACTACATAACAAGCAGGCATAAAAAGATTTTAAAAAATCCACTTTGACAAAAAACAAATTCTAAAAAGGAAACACTCATAATAAATAAAAAGATGCTTCAAAGATCTGACAAATAAATGGGAGAGCTTTTCCATGAGAACCTATCAGACATAAAAAAAGATGTAAAGATCTGTAGTATTAATATTTGAGGTAAGATCATTCGCCCAAGATGAACAGAAACAAAGCAATATGACCAGATGGCATTATAATAAAGATCAGCAACATTGGATGGATAAAATTAATGAAATGGTAAATGAAATGAGTGGCAAAATAACAGAAGATCTTAGTCCATCTAATGAATGCAAACTCCATTAATCAACTGAATGAGCCACATAACTAAGATTATAATTAAGATTCTAACAAATAGAGCTAATAGCATAATTAGACTGGAAATAGGACAAGAAGAGTGCAGCTTTGTTAAGGATACTGGAACAAGAAATGCTAACCTTATGATGAGAATGTGATCAAAGTTCTTTCAAGACGAATAAGACAAACCGCAAAGTTTTTTTTTTTTTTAAGGATGAATAGAAACTTGTTATGAACTGGTCCCATGTTCTGCCTGAAACCTCGATAAACTTTCTGATTGTAGAGATTCCAAGATCCTCAAGGGACATAACAACTATTTAATTATATATTTTTTTATTCTATGGTTGACCCTAACACCTCTCCTTTTTATTTGTATGCAGATACGACTTTTGTTCTGAGTTCACTTGTATATTGTGTGATGGATAAATTGTTTAAATTATACAAAAATGAAAATAATACTGACATCTCATTTTAACAGATATATTTACCAAAATTACACAAAAATATCTTGAAATACTAAAGAGTAAATTTATTCAATAAAATTGCCATTGGCTTCAATCATGGCCTCCAGACGATTTTGGAATATCCTGCAACACTTATGGATGGTCTCCTTGCTTAAGTTGGTGAATGCTGCCACAATCCTTGCCTTCGGTTCTTCTTTGGCGTTAAAAGGAGTTTTGTTGGTCTCTCGCTCAACTATGTCCCACACATAATAATCAAAGGGATTGCAGTCTGGGGAGTTAAGAGGCCAGATGTAAGGGGGTGATATGGTTGCGGTCACAGAAATTGCCTGACAGCTATGACTGCATTCTCCTGTTTGTGTAGCATTGTGCAAAGTCCTATTGCCAGACATAGGGTCCTCCAGCAGCCACCTTCTTAACCCAGGGCAGCACTACCTTCTCAAAGCACTTGATGTAGGTCTCCATCTTGAGTCTGAGGTCCTTACCAACAAATTTGAGAGATCTTTTCTTATCAGAATGATCAAAGTAAGTTTTCCAAGCTTCTGTATCTTCGTAAGCAGATTGACATCCAAATGCTCTGAATTGTTTGTATTGGAGCTTCCAGCGTGAATGCCAAGCAGTACAGTATGCCATTTCCAAATTTCTGGCACAGTGAATTGTGTCATGGTTCTCTTTCTCAAAGATGGTGCCTAAATGATGCTACTATACTGTGTAGTCAGCAAAATCAAAAACAAATGTGCATGTACAAAATTAAAAATATAAAATCGCGACAATTTACCCATCGCACCCTGTACATGGTTGGCTGAACACTTAATGCAAACTGACTTCCCAGTGCTCATTCCTTGATCACTAGGTTCACTGTTTTGTGTAGCTTGTGAATTCTGTTGAAGTAAATCAAATGTTTCTAAAAGAATGTCCAATGGAAGAGCTGAATCCTGTTGAATAGTTTTTGATGATAGGTGAGAAGGTCATAGTTGGTTTGTATATCATACCCAGATACAAGCTTGTATGTTGTCAAATCATTGGTGATATTTCCAGTACAGTGTTATTCTTTCCAATTCTCATTGCTGTTCAGATAATCTTTTGCTAAGACCTGGCATAAATATGAGCAAAGCCTTGTAGCTGTTTATCCAGGTTTGGCTAATAAAGCTGGACACAGGCTAATGCCTCCATACAGCTAATTCCCTGATGTCCAAAATGAAATTGTTTAAAGACCATGTCTTGCAATGTCAATGAAAAAATTACATGTTCCCCAAAAAGAATCCAGCTATCAACTACATATAATGAAGATCCATGATGGAAGAAAGGTTGGAGTTGTTTGTCAGGACATACTGCTGGTCATTTTGTAGTGATAATGAATCACTTTCTCTCAACAATGGGTCAGAAACTGTGGCTTGCTGGACCATTTTTGACTGTGATTGCCAGTTCTCTTATAGCGGTTGTGAGCAATGAAACAATTTTGGGTTCCATGGATAATGCTACAACAACTGAGGCCTCTGGTGGTTTGCAGTGCACATTCAGAAGTCTGGATAAGGCATCTACATGACCAATTGATTTTGTTTAGTGGTACTCAATTGTAAAAAATCATAATTCAAAAACATGGTGGACCATTATTGTAAACAATTGGCAGTATAAACAGTAATACTTTTCTTAGATCCAAAAATGCTAACCAGGATTTTATGGTTTATGACTGGGCTGAAATGATGTTCATTTCTTTATTACAGAGACAATTATCAAAGCTTCCTTCTCAATTTGACTGTAGTTTCATTCAGCAGATGTCAATGATCTTGGTAAATGAGCAATGGCCTTCTGACAGTTGTTCAGAAAATGTGGGAAATCACAGCTCTAAGACTATAGTCAGAAGCATCCAAAGCCACAATGATATCAAAAGATAGTTTATAGTATGTGAGAAGCAAGAACCAAAGATTTGATTTTGGTAAAAGCAAAATGGCAATCTGTTAACCAGTTCCATGGAACATCCTTTTTCATAAATTAAAATGGGACGCATGTATACAGAGGAATTCTGGCAAAAAAAGAACTGCAATGGCTTATCAAACTAAAAAAAGAGCATAATGTCAAAATATTTATTAGTGTTGGTGTGTTTTTGATAGCAGAAATATTTTCCAGGTCTGGTCATAGACCATTTTTGTCAATAATAAACACACAATACTTCATTGATATCCAAAAAATTGACATTTTTCTGCTCTCACATGAAAACCATATTGTTGAATTCTTTTGAAAACAGAAAATAGACATATCAGAAGCTTTGTGAAAAGATCTTTTGGTATTGGTATTGATGGGAGTTATTAACCCAGTGAAATAATCTGCACATATACAAACTTTTCCATTTTCCTTCTTAACAACAACAACAACAACAACGAGAGTGGTCCACAGAGTAATTTATTGGTTGGGTTACTCCAGCTTGTTGAAGGCAATGCAATTCTTTTTCTATGCCAAGAGGAGCACAAGTGAGAGGATGTTTCAGTCTGAAGACTGGCTTTTAATTTTGCTTTAACTTTGCGGGTGGTTTTGACCTTTGTGCAGCACCCAAAGTTCTCTTTAAAGACTTCACTGAACTTAGTTGTGTGTGAAATATTTCCAATTGTCAAAAAACAGAGGAAAGCAAAAATGTATTAAAAACAAAAATGAGCAGAACAGTGAAGAGATCAAGCTCATCCATCCAGTCTAAACCAATTAAATTCAGATCAAGTCCATAATGTAAAAAAGTGCCAGAAAAGTGTTTTTTCATGAAAAGAAACAGTGTGCCATTTAACTCACCAGTAAGTAGAATCTTGTTACTGGATTTACTCCAGGTGATGTGATTTGTTTTCAATAATTTAAGCATGCCAATTTGTTCCCACATGGATTGTGAGAACAAAGTAATATCTGAAGCTGTGTCAAAGTGAAAATAGATTGGGATCTTATTACAGAAATATATTTTCCCCAGGATTCAAAGTCATCTTTAAAATTTGCAAAGACAGAATTTGAGTTTCATCATTTTCAGTACAGCTTTGTGAATTTTTCACCAAAATTAATTTGAAATTTTAAAATTTGATTTAAAGGTTTGGCTTCTGAGGGGCAACAAAAACATTCCTTATGTTCACATTTGTGATACAATCAACATTTATGCATTTTTAAAGACAGAAGCATGTATAGTGGCATTCACTGCATGACCAACATACAGTAAGAGAAAAGAAAAAAAAAAGGAACTACAACAAAGCCTTGCATGAAATAGGAACTACAAGGAAAGATAACTGGAAATGCATAAATGTAACATTTGGGACAGTGAGGAAAGAGTGTCTGGAGAATTTAATACTCATATGACATATTAAAAGCAGGAGGGGGACAGTGAGTAACCTACTTAATGAGTTTGTATGAATGAATTGCAGATTAAGAATAAAGAGGGCTGGTAAAAGTCAGGAGACAGGAAGTTGTGGCGAGTCATAAATCATCCATATCCTAATGGGAGATTGCACATAAAGTAGTAGCACTTTATAAACCCAGGAAAATTTTCTTCTATATTAAAGAATATTTTTTTTAAAGAGGTTGTTTAAGTAAAATCTTTTGCATAGATTTTAATAAAACTTAAAATAGTTGTTGATTCAAAACAAGTTATCCCAACATTAATTAATATTGAATTTACATTAATACAAAACTGTTTATAGCTTTGAAGTTTTCTTCATTTAAGTTCAAACCTTACCAAGTTAAAAAACTTGAAACAAAAATTTAATTTTAAAAATTTACATTATCTAGTTTGTTTACCTCTTCTTAAATATGAGAAAGTAGAAAAGCTATAAACAGCTTCTTCAGGTTAGAATGATAGAAAGATAAAACTATATCAGGAAAAATGTGTTTGTTATCTCTTTAGATAAGTGGGGATCATAAATCAAATTACCTTATCACATCCAATGTCCAGACACCAGGTTATATAAGTTGGGATCAAATATAGATTGAGATCTAACAGAATGATGAGAAAGATTCACAAATGTTTCCTATTTGTTCTAACAAGTTTCACTTTTATTAAAGCTTCATCAGAGAATGAGATATGGAGAAAAAGAAGAAATGCATTTTTCTTTACAAACATTTTGTCTTTTTCATTCTAACCTGAAGAAGTTTCTTGGCAAAACTTATCATTTATGGCTTTTCCACTTTGACTATCTTCACTTTTTCAGATACTATCATACATCTTGCAAACACATTACCTGTTCTTGCAAATATGGTTTAGAAGTAAAGGCTAAGTTCTAAAAAAAAAAAAAATTGTTAGAAATTAAATGTTAGCATTGAAAGGTTTTGAAAGCATTCTTGATATTTTACTAAGACTGATTTCATATAGCAAAAGCTAAATAGAATTGTATTCTGTCTGCATTTCTCTAAAATCAACATCTTATTTGGGTTCTAAACAATGATCTTTGCCAGAAATTCATTCATGAGGAGCTATTTTTAAGATATTAATATTTCAAAATAGACCAATGGGAAACAGATTAATTAATCATTAAAAACAAAGTTAAATTAAAAATGAATTTGAAGATGAATAATCTTACCTGAACCTCACATGCTTGGCTAATTTGCTTGGTAAGTTTGTGACTTCCCTTGAAACTAACTGGCCGGGCCAAGTCCATTAGACAATGAAGAGTTTTGCCCTCTTTGTTACTACCGCCACCACAATGGTCCCGAATTTCTTTATCACAGTGAACAACAATTTCTGGAGAAATCTGAAAGTCTTCCATTATGCTTTTTCTCATGTCATCAACTTCAGCTGTGCATTCAGCTGTAACGGGCATATCTATACAAAGTAAAAATATATAATTACTGTTTTGATTTGTCTGCTGTATTTTATAAATTTTCCAAAATTAATAAATTAAACAATTATGCCACAAACAAGTTTCTTAAAATTTTGTCCTTTTATATTTGTATTTTATAAGTTTTGGCTAAACTATAAAATTAACTTCATACAAATAAAGTAATAAAATAATTAAGCAGATTTCTAAGAATTACATTTTTAAATACCTCATATACTAATTTTTTTCATTTTATAATCTTTAATCATTAGATAATTGGATTTAGAAATTAGTTTAACCCTAGAACACTAACCATCAATTAAAGTTACACCACTACTAACTATGGGTATATCATACTTGATATTGAAAATATCAAAAAAAAAAAAATTTAAATATGAATCTTTATTTGAAATATTTTACATGCAGGTACTTCAAACTTTGAGTTAACATTAATAGGAATTGAAAACATGTTATTTAGGTAAGAAAATCAGGTACCAAAAATTGTAATTAAAAATAGGAAAATTTGTGCTAGGAACTATATATCCATGGTTAGTGTTCTAGGGTTAAGAAAAAAAAATAATTCAAGGATAAGCATTTTATCTCAAAGTGGATAAAAATTTCAAATAATTTGAAAATAAATCTTGAACTGGAAGCACTATTTATTTGATTTTGAAAAAGTTTTGTTACACTGAATAATAAACAATTTATTAAAAGTAGTTACATTAAAAGTTAAATATCAAAACTTTCCTTGCATGACTGAAGAAATATCTTAAAAAGAAAAAAGAAGTTAAACAGTAATAGTCATGAACAAGTTTACTGCGAGATATTTCAAATCAGTCACAATATTTGCTTAAATTCTTGGTGCTGCAAGTCTCCAATTTACAGCAATTTCATAGTGATGATCTTGATGAATATTCTGGTAATTCTTCAATGAATTTGCCTTTTAATGTTTAATACTAGTATTCATGATAAATTTTGGCTCATTGTATAACAATATTCTTTAGTGATGAGTAAAGTTTTTTGAAAGTCTACATTTCAAAAACAAACCTATGAGAAAATGAAATTGAAGGTAGTTGTATTGTCAACATGGGTTTGAAATTTAAAGCAAATATATGCATCAGGTCAAAGTTACGAGTTTTTGCTTTGTTTGTACCTGTGCCAGTCTGTACATCTGATTTTGGCTAAATTTCCAAATCTGTGATAGTATGAAACTGACATGCTTTCTGTAATGAACTGGGACACACACACACACACACACACACACACAGTAAATATTTACATAGGCTCCTTATATAAAGTGATGATAAAATATTATCTGTATATATATATTTTTTATTATTTAGTTGACATGTGAGACCACCAAGTTTCTGGGAAATCATGAAAATTCTGGCTACATATGCAGGTTTCATGAGTGATATTGAATATTACCGAGCTGGACTAAATCTAAAATCCAGCATACATTAATGACCTGTGCAATAATCACCAATCATTTGGTCGTGGTCACCGATAAAGACTATTATTGTCTTTGCCTTATCCTTTTCCTCCTCATAAGAGTCTAGTCTCTCACTCCAGTCAGATAACACCAACTATGAGATTGGGGGAGAAATTATATGGCTGAAAAGTCTTTCCCTTTGTTTTATTAGTATGGTAATAAGAGTGTATATATAAGAATATAAAATGAAGAGTAATAAATAGTAACAATACTAATAACTACCATAATAACAATGATGCCAAAAACGGGAACATGCAAGTAAAGGAGATTATCTGTGACTATAGGATAAATGACGATAAAACTAGTATTAATGAAAAAAAGAGAAAGATAAAAGAAAAAAAATTCCCTATATAAATATACAATAAACATCTATATGGTTACATAACCATGAAATAGATATGAAATTAGACACAGAGAAATGTAATATAAGCATGTATAAAGTCAGGACCTGTCCAACTTTTAACACTTAAAAAAAGCAAAAAACAGTTTTAGTTTAAATTTGAGAATGTAATTTCTTTCAACTTTTCTACAGCAGTTTTGTTAATTAAAGGAAGAGACTAGGAGGACACATCTAATATTGTCTAATCTATTATTAGGTAATGCTGTGCCATGGGCATGTGGCTGAGTGGTTAGAATGTTTGTATTCTGACCATGAGACCCGGGTTCAAATCTGACCATGGTCAATTTATCAGGAAGAAGACTTCCTGATGTTATTGGACTGGAGGGGGTCAATCCCAGCATGCAGCACCTTTGGAAAGTGCCTGAAAACCATACCACGAGTTGACCCAAGCCATGTGAGTGAAAATGGGTAGACGGAACCCTTGGGGGCTGTTGATAACTGTGCTAGCACAAAACCACAAGTCATCGTGGCCGAGGTCTTGAGCGTGTCAGCTTTGTTCAAATTGTTGATCACGCTAGAGAACAAGCTCTTTCCCAGAAACTGTAACTAAGGTCTGCTCAGCATAGTTGCAGCATAAACCACACGTGGGCTCTGTGGGTGTTGAATAAACACAAATGTGCCTGAGCAAGCGTCTGCAATAGGGATTGGCTAGCCACCCCAGTAAACAGGTATCCTCGAATACGAGTGGCCAGCTATACAATGCTGTGCTATAGTAGAATAATTGGAGTTGTTCCTAATTTTCTTCTTGTGAAGAGAAAATTCAGAGCCAGCTTCACTGACATAATTACCTGTCACAAATGTTGCATTGAATCATAAATTATATCAAAGTTGCTGCAAGTAAAATGACTTATGTATTTTAACTTTTGTACCTGGAAGAATGGAATTTGTATCAGTGATAATGTACTTACAAATTTGGCATAATATTGTGCCTTATTTTTTTTTTTTTTTTTTTTAACCTTTTTAAAAGTGTTCATAGATGGACAGGACCTGCCTATATATATATATATATATAAAAATTATATGTTATATTCCTTTATGAGTATATTTTCATTATTATTTTTCTGACCATGTAGTAGGTAGCAGGCATCTTGGAAGATAATGGTCAAACATTCAGTCCTTTTGTAAACTGTCTTAATGGCTAACAGACCAATCTTTGCATGCCACTTTCTTCTGCAGATATGACAGATTGGATGTGGATTGAAGGTTTGACATTACTCTTTCTGTTTCCATCATTCATTTTTGCCTTTTCCAGGCCTTCATGATTCATCCATGAACAGCAGTTATTGCTCACCCCATTTCCACTAAGTCCAAGTATACAATGCTTGATCCATGGATTGAACTCACAATTACTATGTTACCAAATTCATAAAACAATGCTTTAATCAACTAGATGATTGTCCCATTGACAGGAGTAGCCAAAAATAATATAATTCTCAAAATTTTTTTGTGTTCCACATGTCAACTAAATAAAAACTTCAAAATATACAATATATCTTTATCACTTTATACACATGCACACAAAAACATCTCTTGGCAGAATCAATTTCAGGCTGAGCGCTGTTCTAGATGTTATTTTCAGCTAAAATGGGCACTTTGTCTAAAATTGCATAATGTCAATTTGTGTATTTTGTGATTTTATAAATTACATGGCAGAACCATTTCATAATGCATACCGTAAATTTAATGGTTACACTAAAACAGCCAAAATAAATATAATCTATGTAGTTGTTTATTTTGTGATAATCATGTGGTTAAACCAGTGGTTCCCAATTGATTTTAGGCCATGTCCCATTTTGGTATTTCTAAAAATCTGAAGCCTCCCTGTAATATTTAATTCTTACATGTATGCCAATTACACATGTACATACACACAAAATATTTTTATGTATGTATACTGTACATGCATTATATGTATTAACATGCATTAACATTCTCACTCAGACTCACTAGAAAATGATTCACTGTTAATAACTCATTCTTGAATTGCCCCCTTATTCTGTTGGTACAGTAAGCCAAAGGGTGCACATCCTATGCATGCCCCATTTAAACCTATTGAAAAATAAATGAGTACTATATTGAAAAATACACTTGTATTTTCAATACTTGTTTTCTAATTCTATCTTGTGTAAAACGTTTATAGGATTGGAGACCTTATTTATCGATCAGCCTTCATAATTTTCAAGAAAAATCAATGTACTTTTTCAGTTTCCTTATTGTCTAGTGTAAAACAAGGTTTTATTAGACTTTTGACGATGAAAGGCAAAATTTTTTCATCCAATGCTAAAGTTAATGTACACAATCGAATAAATAGAATCTTTTCTAATTGACAGGATCAAAAAGTAGGCATAACATTTGGGAGAAAGTAGCACTAAATGGTGACTATATTGAAAATAAATTTGTAATTTTGAAAAGAAATCAATTTCAAAATTATGTCTGGCCTAAAACTAGAGTTGGAGACTTTATCAATCAACCTGTATAGAAGGGAGTAGATTTAATAGTTTTGTAACAAGGCAGTGACCCGGCTAGAGTTATACTAGTGCATGGAAAGTGGTTAGTAACTGGAGGTATTGAAAGATTTTATAATTCTGAGTGAAGGAGTAGTTATTGGAAGGAGAAAAAAATGTAGAAGAGTGATTATTCAGATTGATATCTGATGAAAAAAAGTCCATTTTAAAAATATTCATTTAAACCCGTAAAATACTTATGAGCCTTGAAAGAGTTTGAACTAAGTAAGATTTAGTAAGATTCAGTATATCTGACAAGTGTATGACACCTGGAGATTTGGCATGACATGACTAATGAGTTTGCCAAAACAGTAAATACAATGAACTGAGCCCACTAGACAACACATCCTGGTGAAGCAAAATGTATTGCACCGTTTTTACCAACCTTTTTTCATAGCATTTTCCAAACACAACATGACAGTAGCTCTTTGTAAAACTTGAGATCCATGAGAATCTTGCATACATGAATAATGCTTTATATCACGATGACAAGCAGCAAAAAATCCCTTCTCTATCTTTATATCTTCAGCAATAAGTTGCTGTCGCAAAACCAACTTTTGACGGCACTATTCAAAAAGAATAAAATAAACAGTTAAAAAATTATCAAAATAGAAAGCATTTAACAAGCTATTTTCTGGTATTTTGATTCTATAACTTGAATATGATGACATTTTCAATAAAAAATTTAAGTATGAAACCAATTAACAAAGTTATGTATGTCTAACTTACCAAAATTTATTTCGGTTATTGGCATGACATCTGACAGCCAACACTAATGGTTGTCTTTAGGTTAGTCTCATTTCAAAATGCGTTACTAAAATGAATTCTTCCAGGAGTTTTAAGAGAGACACTAAAATTTAATCTACTACTGGTTAAATCAGCAAGTCTATGAAAATAAAACTTGGATTTCAATAAACTGGTAGTCTAAGTGGAGTGAAAACTCAAATAACAAAGAATGAAAGTGCAGAGAGATATATTAAAAAAAAAAAAAAAAATTTGATTGAAACATGAGAATCAAATGTGTAAAACAATATTTCTGAAAATCTCTACATAAAAATTAATGTAAATGTAGCAATTTTAATTCTACAATAAGATTGATTCATTTATAAACATTTTTTCAAATTTTTGGAAGCAGAATTTTGTAGGATAAATTTATATATATCAAATGCAACCAATTATGTTGGTACTTATCTGAATTTATTTGATCAAATTTCAATACTCATCTAATACAGTAGGTTATATGATGTGATCTTTAACTGTGCTAGGAATATAAATGAAAGATTTTTGTTTAGGATTAAGTTTCCACTTCCATCTAAAAGCTTTTTATTCACTTTCATTCCCAGAGGGGGGGGGAATCAAAGTTGCAATTCTTAAATTCCATGCAAAATATTATATATATATATATATTTCACATATGGTTCATGTGATATATAGATATTATAACAGTTAGTCTGAAGTATATTTATGAGTGTATTTAAATTTAAAAATTCTTGGGGGATAAATAAATAAATCATCATCATTTTGTCTTCTGTTTATAAACACTTGTTGCAAAATAATATACTTACATTTGTCTTGGTAAAGTCCAACAGAGGATGAAATGTGTTGGATAAGTTTTTCTTTTGTCTTATATATATCCTTTACTGGGGCACCTTGGGGGAGTGTAATGGTTAGCAAGCTTGTCTTGCTAGAACAATTATGACTGAGTAGCGAGTTCGATCCTCACTGGTTGCTCCATACTGTCGGCCTTGTGCCACATCTAAGCTATGCTTGGAAAATCTCTCTATATATCCTTTACTGAAATCATAGTCATTTAGTTGATAGTTTTTATTATAAAATCTGTAATCCTCTTTCTACATTCCAGTGGCAAATTTCAGGCTAAAGCTAAGTTTTTAATTGTGTATCCAATGGTTTAAAATTAGACAAGTTACAACTCTAGACCATTAATTTTTGGAAATTAATGTTTTTTAGTTTGTTTTGTGAACTGCAGATTTGTTGATTGCCTATGTAATTGATTGATCTTAGTTTTCACCATTCATATTTTTGTTGCTATGATGATTATTTCCAATTCTGTTAGCTTTATCAAAAAATTCTTATTCTTTCAATTCACTGATATATGCACAGGCAGAGGATTTCAGGAAATATGTGATATATTGAGAAAGCTATGTGAACATTGTGGAATAACTTTAAAAAACAATGTGTGTGTGCCTGCACTTAAATAGAAATGGTAATTATTCCAGATTTTATTTTGTCATGGAAATTTGAAATTATTTTTACTAGTTGATTTGTGTTGGGCAATTTGTTTTAGGTCATTGTCAGTATGGCATAAAATAATATCTAGGAAAGGTAAAGTGTTATTAGTTTCTATTTCATAAATAAATTCTATTATATGTTTGACTTTGTTGAGTTTGCTCACAAGGTCAGGTAATGTAGTTATCTTAATAGAGTGTCATAAATATATTGGAAATATGTTGATTAGGTAAATCATTCTGAAAAGGACCAGATTAAAGAAACTCTAAGAAAAGACAAGCTATGAGCCCACTCAGAGGCAAACCCATTGTTAATCCAAATTTTTCTTTATAAAAATTATTAAAAATGAAATAATATCAGCAAATTTTTATGATTTTAGCTATTTATATACAGGGGTTTATTTTTTATTGTTAGATTTTTTTTTTTTTCAAATTTAAGCATTTGTTAACAGGAACATTGGTATAAATGGATTTAACATCTAAAGTAGCCATGAGTTTGTAATATTTATTCCCCATTAGTTTTTTTGCTGATTGTTCCAAGGAAAGGTGTTAAAATTTTTGTTATGATTTTTGCCACTTTATGAGGAGCACTACCTATACCTAATATAATGTGGAGCATCAGAACTCTTGCTTTGTGGGTTTCAGGTAGCCCATAAAGTTTAGGTATTCTATTAGTTTGTACCATGATCTGTTTTCATTATTAATTTTCTAAATTAAATTGGCTAGACTATATACTGAGACATATCTATATAAAAAAATTTTTTAAAAAAAAAGTTCAACATTTTCAAAGTTTCCTATTTATGCATAATTATAACCAATGTTTTATATTCCCTCTCAACTTTATACATATGTATATATAATTACAACAAAAACATTAGTCTGATGAAGTCCTAAAGGACAAAACATTACACAAATTTTTTGCACTTTGTCATTAATTTGCTTAACATTGATCGGATATATAAAAAATTATACCTCTTATATATATATATATATATATATATATATATATATATATATATATATATAACTTGTTACTGAATTTTTATTAAATTTTGAATATGTGGGACATTGAGGAGTCAAAACTATGTGCCAATTTTGGATTAAAAATATATTAAAAAGAAAAAACAAAAAATGTATTTTGACTAGAGAAATCCAGAATGTCATTAGAAGTATACTCACTGCATCTGACATGTCTCTTTCAAATTTGTGTCTTGCAAGGCAATCAAACACTCTGCCACTACCTGCTGCTATCTCATCACAAAAGCGCTCCCGATCAATACGGCACGCATAGTAAAGAGGTCGATCCAGGTGATAATCATCAGCTTGTAATTCTGTAACTCTATGTACTTGATGTAGACACATTTTGCTCAAAAATTTTGTCTTTTCTTTTAAGCACTCAATAGTTTTTCCTTGCAAATGTGGAGACTAGTAAAATAAAATGTTGCAATTAGTAGTTATGAAAACAAATGTACTGAAAATTTTTTTTCTAAATTCAAATTATTTTATAGTAATAATTATAAAAAATTGCAATAATTTAATAAGATAATAATTGATATACTTACATCATCTTCATCTTCAAGCTGTACTCTGCCACATTTTAAGTCAGCAATATCTTTTTGACAATGATCAACAAAATTATAAACTAAGCGATAATCACTAAAAATTATACTTCCCATTTTTAACAAGAACTGTTTACAATTACTATTGGTAATGTTGTCTATATATTCTATCAAACAGGGAATCACCAAGCCAGAACCTTGAGGTAATGTATGACAATCAGCAGTCTACATAAAAAAAGAGAACCAAAAATTGAAATTAATCAAGAAATCATGCAAAATTGTTTGAAATATTCAAGTTTTGAAATGTAATAATAATAATCAAGCTAAAACATTTGTCTGTTAAAATTAGAAGCGTTCAATAGGGGAATTAAATGTAAATTTTCAATTTAGCAAGAAATTTTTAAAATTTCAAGGTAGAAACACTCACAGATATTGAAAAGTTTTCAACCTGGCAAAGGGATAAAAAAAAAAAAAAAATAAGTAGAAAAGGCATTTTTACAAGATTTATTTTTTCAACAGGATCTTGTTAATGCATTTAATTTTGATTGTTCCAATTGGATGAGGAGAGTAGTTGTATTTCAACAGTACTGGACAAAAAAAAAAAAAAAAAAAAATAGAATCCATCTTTAAAGTCCAGCTTATCAATGAGGTGTAAAGTCAGATATAGCAAAAGTAAGTAATGCTTGCAATCAAACAGACAGAAACAAAAAGTTTTCTGAATAGAAGAGCACATTTGTAAAAGTTACTGGAATGGATTTTACCAGTAAGTGAATGTATCCCTAATGCCAGTTGGAATAAGAATTAACTTAAGTTAATGTGAAAAACCAAGACAGCCAAGCAAGATAATGTGGATTTTATTAACATACCAGAAGTACCCTAGGGTCTGGGTTTCCTAGTGGGTTGTTGGAAAAACAAAAAGGATTATAAGTAGAATTCATATCTTGAACAGAATGTCCTGGGTTTGATTATATGAATTGACAGAATTTTAATTAATAGGATCAAGTGAAATGAGGAGTACCCACTTGTCCCCCCCCCCACCACCACCACTTCCTGCTGGAAAAAATGTCAACTGAGACAAGCCAGTTGGCTTTAAACTATGTCAAATTTTGGCCAAAATTAAAAATTGATATTTGTTTTTTTTTAATCCCATTCATACTTTTTGATTTGATTGTATATTAGCTTAGGAATTCAGTTTACCCTTACTATGTAAAACAAAAGAATGAAATCATGAAAACTCTTCCTCATTACTATACACATATGCAAATCATTCTGCAAAGTGACATTTAAAAAGAAACATATTCAACTAACTAGAGTAGGCAGTACAGACAGACCAGTTTAGGGAAAAGAGTTGACAGGTAGTCTAGCCTGAGATAACTAGAGAAACAGACAGCAAAAACTTAGTAGAGGCATTATTACTACCCAACTTCATCATCCACTCCACCAGCCCTTGTGAAATACTGTCCCAGAGTAATTTTGTTAACTGAAGAATTTCCCTATCTTAAGAGATTTTTTTTGCAAACCAATGATCAAGTGAAGGAGTTGGAGACTAACTTTGTTTACAGACCTCAGACTGACACATACTAATTCACAAACTGGTCATAGTTATGTAGACTATAGCACCACAAAATTGGGAAGGGTTAATCTAATAATTGTAACCCCTCAACAAATAAACCCTATGTTACTGTTTCTATAAGTTGGTTATCTCTTCTGAAAGTTGCTTCTTTCTTTACTTTCCTGGAACTTATCCCCTTCACTCCTGATGGTGTTTGAACCATCTTCACTTAAGATCAAAAACTTAATGTGGGTGGGTGGGTGTTTCAACCGGTAGAATGAAATGCCTTAGCTGAGAGCCTCTGGCCTACATGAGATGAGGTCATATTATACATTGCTATCTCAATGACTAAAAAAAGTTTGCAAGAGATATACTGACCACAAACTCGCAGAAATTATGTGGGCTAACACAGACTCTACTAAGTTAGAACAACCTCCCAACAGTAAGAAATTCTGAAAAAAAAATACTAAAAAAAAAAAAATTTTAAAAAAAAATTAAGCAGAAGGTGCCCTGAATTATGAGAAAAAGTTATTGATGTTGATCTGTAATACAAAATGTGGTATCAAGTCCCCAAAGGAGATTGACAAAAAGCTTTCCATTAGAAATTCCCACAATAAGATAAATTGGCACAAATTATGTATATAGCAAAAGATAAGCTTAAAAGAATTGTGAAAGATACCTAATTAAAATGAATTAGCACCTGGAATTGTCAGAGTTTGAACTTAATGGATTTTAAGCTAGTAGGATCAAGTGAAACACTGAGTATCCACTCTTCACTCCCACTAGAAAAATGACAATTGAAATAAACCAGATGGCCCATGTTATGCTGGATCTTGGCCAAAATTCAGTAATAGAATTCTTCCCTCCATATTATCAACCTTGATTGTCTCTTGGGATCAGTAATTTGGCTAACCTCGCCAGTGAGAGATTGAAGGACGAAGACATCAAAATACTTCCCTTGATCTTCTTGTAATGCCCATATGTAAATCAACTTGTAACGTGAAAGAAAACTGTTCCCCATAAATACAGGGACTCACCACTTTCAGTCAAAACAGAAACAAAAAAAAAAAGCCATAATTGCCTGCTACCATCTGAGCAGCCATTCACTTAATTAGATTGTTTTAATATTTGTGTTTTGGAACAACTATCTCTGGACAATTTTCTTCTCAATAATGCAATAATAGTTGGTTGATAAGGAGATGTCTTTGTTCATTTGTTTTTTTTACTGGTGTCATTTAATGTTTTTCCTACATATTTTCTTTGTATTTAAACTGAATATTTTATTTATTTTGTCCAATCCTCTAACAGTTGTAACAACAGAGAGGGTTTGAGATGAAGGGTTCAGTCTTTTCTAAGTTATATCCTATCTCTTTGGAGAGAGTTGGTACATTGAATGTCAAGATGTAAGTGTTGGTCTGGATATTTTCACTATTCTTTTTAATTGTCACTCTTCTAACATCTGTGACTCCTTGCTTTTTTCAGTTCATTCTTTATCACTTCAATGGTACATAGACAGAGTTCCTTAATTTGTACCAACCTGCATGAGATGTTCAAGTTCAGTTTTTTTCTCAGGGTAAGTCTTTATTTTTTTTTTTTTTATTATTATTATTATGAAATGTCATTTTCAGTAATATCTCCACTTCTCTACCTCAACCAAAATTGTGCCATTTTAAAATTTTTTCACATTTTTGGGATTTAGTTTAGAGGATATGAATGGAGATAATTTTGTGAATGGGAATTTCATCTAGAAATTTGAAGATTATAAATCTTGGAAATGATCCCAACTCTTTGTTCTCAAAATATGTATCCATGTGAGGTCTCTTGGTGGGTTTGATTTTATCCATGAAAAAAGGTTTTACTACTTTAGTGCTCCTGCCACCAAATGGAGTCCAATTTAATGGGAAATACCAAGGAGAAAACCCATTCACCTTGGTAAGACAGGGCTACAGCAATGGTATACTCATATTTGGAGGAAGGCCAGTCCTTGATTTCCTTTTGGTCTCATTACCTAAGAACCTTTGAAACATCTGAAGTCTCTAAGATGCACTATAGTTCTTTCCTTAAAAAAAAAAATGTACTTGTAAAAGCCAAGTACTAGTGTAAAAAAATGAAGGAAAAAAAATTAAACCAAGCCATTAATAATCTATTAAGAAAGCCTTTTGTCATTTGGGAACAACAAAGTTTAACAATAAAGACAAAGTGAACATAAGAGCTGTGTCTTTATTATTATTTAATAAGTATATGATCTGACTCAAATTCAATCCAGGTAAAGACAATGAAGAAAAGTAAATGAATGGGCCTTTTAGTAAAGTGTATAGAACAGGTAAAGCCTGACAAAGCACTAAAGTCACAACAGAATAGTTTTAGTGAAGAAAAAAAATCTTTCCTAATGCGATCAAATGAGAAAACTTTCAACTACACAATATTTATAATTTTTAGAAAGCATAAGTACTTCTTTTATGTATATGGTAACCATATTACATTTTACAATGTATCTAAATTATTTTAAAATGTTAATAGATTCAATAACATAAAAACAGAAATAAATTGTAATAATATACATACCACAGCTAATTCATGACGACAAACTTCTTTACCAGCATATTCAAATCGATCATCTTTGGTTAGATTTCTTTTGAATAGCCACAGAAGCTGAAAAATTAAAAGCACTTTCTGTAAGTAAAATGAATTGATATTTATAAAGAGACCAATTTATTGACAGTTATGCTATTAATATGTTCTATAAAAGATACCCAGAAATTAAGGTCCAGGTAGGTATAAGTTGACACGAATTAAAAACATTATGAAATTTGTATACACAATGCTAAAGGATGTATGCAATACTTGTAACAAGTTGAGCAAACTTAACATTGTTATATCACAACAAAAAGGACTGCCATCATAAAAGTGGACAAACAGAAGCACAAAATGTAGTAAGAGTTTTGCATGCTAAGGACAAAAATTCATCCTGAACTTATTGCTATGTACGACAAACATATAGTGAGTAAAAAGCAGGTATAAGTCTGGTTTAGTGCATTCACAGAGAGGTGCATAAATTTGCAGAATTAACCTTGTGTAAGATGTCCACATTCATTCACTGGAAAGCAACAGTGTTGAAAATTTGATTAAAAGATAATAATAGCAAATTTTTGGGATAATGCCATTGATTTTGATATTTCTAAGTTAGTGGTCTAAGAAATCATCCACAAGAAATTGGGATATTGACAAGTGTCATCTCATCAGGTTCTAAAGCAATTGATTGAAAAAAAAAATGAAAAAAAAAATATATGAAAAAGTTCAAACTCATGGGCATTTCTTTTCAACATTTGAAATGATATAAGAAACGTGACAGACTTTCTGGAGCATATAATTATAGTTGATGAGAACTGATTGCATAACATTTGCCCTTGAGACAAAAGTCAATCAGAAAGGCTCCATTAGATTTCCCCCATTAACTGCCACTTCAAATTCTGTAAAGAGTTCAATGGCAACTGTGTTCTGGGATGCAAAATGTATGCTGCTTGTAGACTTTGTACTGCATGAAGAAACAGCAGTTAGATAATATTAAACACTGGACAGACAGAGAAGCCGATCAATCTGACAATAGAGTGGCTCCAATGATATCTGGGACGTTTTACAACATCTATTACATCGTCTTGATTTGACGCTATAATTTTGGCTCCAAAAAATGACATTTATCTGGGAAGTAATTCCATACAGATGATAATGCCACTGCAGAGGTGAAAGGGTGGCTTGACAATGTTCTTCCAGGTAGTTATTAATATGTTCATGCACCAAATAATATAGTAGCGCTGGTTACATATGCACAATATTTTATTTGTCTATATCTCCTAGATGAGGTATTGTTATTACTTGCATTATTTACATTATTCAGACTGTTATAACCACATTGCCTCAAGGGCACATGGCCCAGTGGATAAAGATGTTGGTTAGATCCAGTGACTAGACCCAAAGAGTTCAATACCAAGCCACAGCAGTGGTGAACCAAAACTTGGAGAGTTGAGTTAAAGGGAAATAACCGAGACATCCAGAAGATACATGGAATTAAAACAATCTACCCTGGTGGACGAAATAAAGGGTTTGGTTCAAAATTTCAATCACCTGAAGAAGGCCGGAGTGTACAACAGCCGAAACATTGTGAATATGGCAATGAAGATGAGGATAACAGTCTGAATAATGTAAATAATGAAAGTAATATTTTATTTGTGTAGTAATCAACTTCATGTATTATTAAATATTTTTCCTTTCTTTTCAGACATCCTTCATAGTTATAATACATGTATACTCTCAGAGCAAGAATTCCTAATATTTAATATATAGACAGGGAATGAGATTCTAAGTTTAAGAAACATTTATTTCACCTGTTGATTAGGAAAAAATGGTTTGTTACTCAAGTCACAGTTCAGTTGTGGAACTTTTGTGAAGAGTTTACCAAAATAATGGGACCAAGAACTTCATTTAACTCATTAATGTACACCATAAAATAATGTCATGAAAATTAGAATAACAATCTTGTATTAATTATAGGTTTCTATGGTAGACATTAATGGGTAAATGTATGAAAAGATTCATTAAGAGATGTGAATATAGAAATCCGACTAGTTTGTATAATGTTTCTATATAAGGATTTGCAGAGGTGATCAAAAGTAAGTACATTATATAAGCAAACCAATATGAGCACCATTACCCTTTAAAAGCAAAAATTTTCATAAATATAAGGCATCAATATCAAAATTCTACAAAATTCTTAAAAAATAAAATGCATTGAATAGAAAAAATACACTAACCTTGTAAAAATTGGGAAAAAAAGGTTGAGCAAACAGTAAAAAATAAGCATTATGTAAGTTAACACAAATTTGTCAACATTTCAATTTAGATTTCCATTTTAATACTCAAATTTAAGCTTAACCCTTAAAAAATTAGAAAAATTTTTTTCAATGAATGTCTATGAACAAAATTGAGTAATAATTTTCTATTTTACAAATGAAACTTAAAATGTTATCTTGTACAAGGCCCTTAAAAGTATTTTTTTTTAAATTAGGCAATGTTTTCATAAAAGAAACAAATAATTTTAATGCACATCAGACATCCTTTTAATTCAGGTACAATATCTAGCAGATAAAACTGGAAGACACTCCCAAAATGTTAAGTCCCTTAGAGGCAGCATCTTTAGTTGTTATACCTACATATAATAAAATAGGTGAAACTCATTTTCTCCTTAATTCTATATATTGAAAAAGTATTAAGTTTGTGATAAAAGTCAATTTTATCTTTAAAAATAATTAAAATATCAAAAATGTTTAAACACGTTTTTTATTATTTTTCTTTGTAACTTTTTTTTCAAAGCATTCATGTTGTGACATTGTACAACTATTAAAACAAGCAGCACCAATGAAATGACTATGTAACCTCTGAGACTAACTAATATCCATAGTAGCCCATTAAACAAGAATATTGCCTACAAACATCCACAGATATTAAGCTTCATCAGAGACTGATTTTGTTTTGTCTTCTTACTTTAACACAAAATGTGTCTAGGGAGAAAAAGCAACAGTAAAATAAAAGCAAAAAAATAATCAGTTAAAAATGTATGCAAAATTTTGCTTTGAAAACTATGCTTGGATTAATTGTGTCAAAGGTAACTGCAGTTAGCTTTATTCTTTTAACTGAAATATTGTAACAACACTATCAAAATGCTGAAGAAAAGACTATCTCAAGATGGTTTATCAACTACTTAAATTGGCTGTAACTAAAGTATCAGTTTTTTTTTTTGGGGGGAATTAATTCCCCCCAAGCAAGGTTATGCCACAAAGTGTGATAAAGAGAGTGAAAGAAGGAACTGGAAACATAATCCTAAACAGGAGATAAGAGATAAACCTCTACTCCTGTTTAAAAGACCAGAAACTTAATACAAGATCCAGCTTGTGCCATTCCAGAGAAGTTCAGTGGTCATTCAGTAATTAAGATCTGCACCAAATTAGCTGTGATAACAAAACATTAACTAAAAGTAGGTATGCCAAACTAAAATTTTATTTTCAATATATCTATATAAAAAAAATACCCAAAAAAAACCTTACAGACATAGAGAACTTGACAAAACATAAAAATCTTCACAAAATTTATCTTGGTAGCTCAATTAACAACCAAGAGATGACAAAAGTTAGTTTTCCATATCTGGTGTTATTGGGCCAGAAACCAATTTAACAGTGTATAACTGAAGATGTAAGCTTCAAAATAGTTAAAAATCATTAAATGTCATATAGGTAGTCTTGAAGTAAGAAAAATACTAATGGAATCAATAATTATTAGATCCAAACAGTCTAAATATTAGGAAAAATTGCATTCTCAAAAATAAGGTGGTTAAGATATGACACAGAAGGACACTTGATTGTTCATATAAATTTCATTTCAACAGTTAATGCCTAATAACTTCTTGCTGATTCAATGTACAATAGAGATGAAGCTAAATTTTTATTTTTTTTTTTTTTTATATATCAAAAGCTGAGCAAGGGTACAATGCATGCTCACAATGTAACAATATGAAAGACAAATGCCACATTGATTAATGATAACACAAACTGTTTCCCATATTGCAACATCAGTATTTTTATTCTGGTCTTTGCTTGTTCTTCTGGTTGGGTAGGTAGGTGACACTTTGGACAACTTCTGTTCTGTCAGCTCTTCTCCCTACCTGTTAGCCATCCCAATGTGGTGGATGGCAATACAAATAGACAGCATCAGAACCACATAACAGACAAGAATGTCTCCTGCCAAAGGCTGACCATAAGTGACTTAATATAGGACAGCACCCGCAAATACTAAATTTCCAGTTTGTTGTCGCTTGGTCCCCAAAAAATACCTTATCCACTACTTTACTGCACCCATCAGTTAAAGTGGATACCACTTAAAAAAGACTGGACTTCAAAATGAACCATCTGCTGACTATCAAACAGAATCGAGATTGAGAAAATCAAAAAACAAATCTTTTTCTATGTGGATGTCTGTAATATCACATGTAAATACAGCCAGAATAACAATTGACAGTAGGATAAACACACATCAGAAGTATGCCATCCTGAACTTGCTGTAATATCAATTGGAGGTTCATGCCTGAAACTATTAATTTGGGAATGAGGAATTCAATAAAACAGTTCTTTTCTCTGTAATATTGTGACACTATAAAGGGTCACTGGGTGAAAGGAATGTGACACTATCATGACACTGGTAGTGTGGAAATAGGAGTAAATGGGTTCATGTGAAAACCCCATAAAGAATTGGAGAATTGGAAGGGTTGAAAATGTTAAGAAAAAAAATAGGAATAATTGTTATGAGACCCCGAAAACGTCAGAATGTAAAACATTAGAAAAATTCTTTGCCAATTTGAAATAAATAATTTTGTTTTGATAAAAATGGCCGATTGCCACAGAAAACATTTAGGTTGTATTGGTAAATTGACAAAGAAATTGCTGATTTGAAATATATAATTTTGTCTTGAAAAGTTGACCATTTGGTATTTGAAGGTCATTGTTGGCCAGGGAGTGAATTTTGGTAAAGCCAACAATATAAACAATAGGATGTCAAATCAGTCATTTTGGTAACTGACAAAAAGAAATTGCAGATTTGAAATAAAT